GATAGTGCATTTATGAAAATGCATTAGGCTAATAATAGGAGTTCAGAATGGTAATGTTTATTGTTTTCACTCATTTTTTTCACCATTAAGTGTAATTAGGGTAAAGTCATTTAACATATAAAATGTTAATTAATTTCATATGGGGCTAAGTTCCCGTATTACATATGGCATGCTTGACTGTTATTCTAGAATGAACTTTGAAAATGCCTGTTCCTAGACTGCTTAATGACGTGATATATTCGTTTTCATTCTTATTGCCAAATGGCTGCCTTTCTTCTTTTCACTGGGGAAGTAAATCTGTGTTTTTATAATTAGCATTTTTAATTTCAAACAGTGCAGTATCATGATAGAGACTCACTTTTCTTTAAAGCAAATTGCAATGAACAATGTATTTATTTATTAAGCAAATTTATATAACTCATACACAATGACTCTGGCAGTGTACAATCTTAAAATCCAGTTAAAAATCTATCTAAACCTTGACCCCATCCCATGGCAGCAACAATAGAATCAGACAAGCCTCTCAGTCAATTCTAAATGGGGTCCCCAAACCCACTGACAAAACCCATGTCTTCAAGGCATTTTGAAAAAGCAACCAGATGGAGACCAATTTTATTTCTGGGGGAATAAGTAAATCAGCAACTAGTGCAGCTCCCACAAATGAGGTAACACATGAAAATTTGGACCTGCACAAAACCATATGGGCTGCTGCATTTTGAGTCAACCTAAGCTTTCAGACGCACTTCAAGGACAGCCCCATTTACAGGATATTACAATAGTCCAAATTGGAGGTGACCAGGGTGTGGGTGACTATGAGAAAAAGTGAAACCAATATGAGAAAGACCCTGGGATGGCTTCCTTAGGTGCCAGCTCAAATGATGAGGAAGAGCCGGTTCCTGGGACATCTGATAAGGACTTTGGGGAGCACCAAGGGACATGGAAGGTTCTGTGACAGAATCTGATGGTCAAGGCAATGTTCCCCGGGAATGTCAGGGGAGTCAGAGAGTGTGGCCAGATAAACAGCTGGCTGCGCAGGCCAGAGAAGAAATGCAGCTACAGCCAGTCAATGGAGAAGAGGAGTTGCCACCCCCACCTGATCCCAGGTCACACAGAGTGGAGTGCAGAAAAGTGCAGTGGAAGCCAGCAAGGCTACTCATGAGGAGGCAACCTCACCCATTCTAATGAGGTGCACCAGTCAGTGCCTATTTACCTCAGTGCTTGGAGCCTAGTAGTTGTCAGAGACAACTATTTGTAACTACCTATGAATGCTCTTGACTTGTTGCCTTGAACTCATTGAGACCGCATTGCCATCATCATGCTTTGAACCCCCTGAAGTCAAGTTGCCTTCATTGTGCCTTGCACTTATTGAAGCCAAGTTGCTTTCATTGTGTTTTGAACCCATTGATACCAAATTGCCTTTGTTTTTCCTTAACCCATTGACACCAAGTTGCCTTCATTGTGCCTTGAAACTGCTGGAGTCGTGTTGCCTTTGTTATGCCTTGAATCCATTGAAACCTCATTTGCCTTGGCCGCGCCTTGAACCCCAAGCATCATGGGGGCTGTCATCCTGCTGATATTGTTCCTGTGCCTTAGGCATGACTTGCCCCCCTCCCCCATTGCCTTTGTTACATCCAACTTGCTTGGAATGGATGTTAAAAAGCTGCACACATGGAGTTGGAACCTGGGTTGATTGTGTGAAATAAACATACTTACTCCGTGTGTATGTGTGTGTGTGTGTGTGTGTGTGTGTGTGTGTGTGTGTGTGTGTGTACTGGAACAAGACAGACCCTCCTGGCCATGAATGCCCTGTGCTCCTCGAGCAGAAGTGGCGAGTCCAGGAGAACCCCCAGATTATGCAACTGTTCTGTCTGGGGTAGTGCAACTCCATCCAGGGTCAAAGACGGTAATTCTCCAAAAACCATAGAGCCCCAGACTCAAAACTACTCTCTTGCTAAGTTTCAATTTTAACTTATTGTTCCCCATCCAGATCTCAATAGCCTCCAGGCACCGAGAAAGGGTGGTTATGGCATCATTTAACTCACCATGGCCAGGAATGGGCAACTGAGTATCATCTTCATGATATCTCATCTCATGGTGATAGATGATCTCACCCAGCAATTTTATGTAGACATTAAAACAGGTCTGGAGAAAGCATTGATTTTTGAAGGACCCTGCAAAGCAGTGACTGAGGGTTAGCATTCTCCCTCCTGATCAACACCAATTGGAAATGGCCTCAAAGAAAGGAGGTAAACCAGGACAATACTGTGCTTCCTATTTCCAGTCCTTGTCAGATGCCCACAACCAGACTTACATGTGTAGAGTTCCAGCTACTACTTTATTATGTTCTGTCTATGTTCTGGCAGCTCTCCCTTGAGAGCAATTAGATAAGGCTCCAAGGAATTTAGGATGGACCGGTCCTGGCCCTTTTATGGTTGCACAGTAACTAGCTGCACACCTCCTCACTACCAGGCTAAGTCTTCCCAACAGTCCCCAAACCCATTTCAAAAGAAGACCAAAGTTGATGGTATTGAAAACTGCTAAGAGGTCAAGTAGAAGCAAGGACTGACGTACTACTCCTGTCCTGCTCCTGCCAGAGATCATGAAAAAGTGTGATCAATGTCATTTCCATCCCGTATTCAAACCTGAATCCTGATTGAAAGGGGTCCAGATAATTAGTTTCCTCAGGATCCTTTGGAATTGCAGTACGGCCACCTTCTCAACAATCTTCTCCAAGAAGGGAAGATTAGAGGCAGGATGAAAATTGTTCATCAGTGTGAGATCTAGTGATGGTTTCTTAAGAAGGGGGAGAACTACAATCTCTTAAAGATCTAGGGCACCACCCCTCTTCCAGAGATGTATTAACTACTGCCTGTACCCAACCACACATCATTTGCTAGGAAGCTTTTATCAGCCAAAGGGGACACAGATCCAAAGCACAGGTGGTCAAGCTCACATTCCCAAGAATTCTGTCCACTTTCTGAGGAGCAACAGGGTTAAACTGTGTCGGGCACAAGCAAGTAGACCTACCTGTGTAAGGAGACCTCTCAGTTCTGGATCTCTTGTGACTGTGCAAGGACTCAGAACTAAATCTGCCCTTGAGGCCTTCCCTCTGACTGAGCGGGTGTTTCCCAACAAACTATTCCCAGTTAACTGGGCAAGCACCCACCCTGGGCATCTCCATCAGACCAATGTCCATGCCAACATCCAATTAGGAACAATTCAAGTGACTTTATCTGCCAGAAAATCAACAAATTCCTTAACACACCCCTTCAGGTGGACCTCTGGGTCTTCCTTCCCCAGAAGTATCAGGTTATCCTGAAGAAGTCCACCAGGCAATTATCTGCAGATGCAATTTGCGTAAAGTATTTCTGCTTCACTGCATGAATTGTCATGAGGTAGGCTTTAATAGTTCTTATCTGTGCTCAGTCAAATTTCTTCATCATCCTCCAATGGTCCTCTAAATGTCACTTGATCTGCTTCATCTCTCCCAGTTCTTCTGTATATCACCCGGCCTGACAAGATCCACAGAGCGAGTGAGGTCACTTACAGTAGTGGCCAAAATTGTGGAAACCTTCTGGGAAAAGTATTTTTGAGGTTTGATGGCTAATAACACTACTTTGTTTTTTGGAGTAGTACCATAAAATTACATATCAATGGAAAGATAATTTAATCAAGAATGTAATGCAACAAAGTTTGTTCACTTATCTGTACTGTATTCTATGAAAAGTTATAGCCAAATAACCAGAAAAAGGAAGCACAACTTGCTTAGGTTGATATCAGGTAGCTTTCCTTCATCTGATTGTAGCCAATGAGCATAAGTGTTTAGAGAACCAATCGGGTGTCATCTTGTTTTGGCAATGAGCCAATCAGATCACAGTAGGATTCAGTTATTGATGTTATGTATTGAAGCTGAGAGGAGGACATTTGTCAGTGTGTTATGTGATCACTATCAAGTTGGTTGGGGTTTTTTTGTTGTTCTTTCATTTAGTGAGCTTGTAAAACGTAATAAAATTAAAGAGTTGACTGGTCACCCAGAAAGCAATGTAAAATAGTATTATTAAGTGAACAAGGCTACAGTTATAAAGAAATTAGAAGAAAAATTGGTGGAAACTTAACCAAAGATGGCTTTTCTACTGTACACTTTTCCCAAAAGGTTTCCACAATTTTGGCCGCTACTGTAGGTGCAATTCTGTCTAAAACCTCAGTTACCCTCCTATTCCAGGTGGCGACTAGGCTCTCAGCAGGACTACGCACCAGATGTTCAATTATAACCCCCAACTCCCTCTGAAACCCCGTTGCACTATACACCTCTGCTGCCATCTTCCATTCACCAATTGTTACTGTACCTTGCTACTGAAGGATTTACTATTAGCAGTGGCCATTTGATCACTGAAGACTGAACCCAGCATTGCTTCATCATATAAGATTGACAATTCTTCCTTGCAACTTTTTAAAGGAGCATTCAGCTTCTATTTTGTCAGCTAATATTATTTGACAGCTTCTTTCCTTGTATGGATGACAACTAATTTCAGACATAATAGCAGACAACAGAAGGAATATTTAGTACATGTTTATTTAATATGCAAGTTATTGATATGTGAACATACAGACATGGATATAGTTTTTTATTCCAAGTAGAAAATGTTCGTGTTTGTGCGTGTTTATTAGAGAGAGAGAGAGAGTGAACGTTATAAGTTGGCATCTGTTTATGCAGTTCTGGATTTCAACTGTGTTTTTGTTTATGCGTGAAATATATTCATTTTTTAAAAAATGTGGTTTGGTGTCCAGCTGCAAATAACATTGCAGCTGTAACCTGGATATATATATATATATATAAATACAGTGCAATTAAAATGATTTAATTAGCTCTTGTATGTTCAAATAACATCATAGTTGATCCAGGAGGAAGAGCTATTTTGCAAAAAAATAAAATAAAATCCAGTTCCTGTTTTATTTTGTCTGGTGCTCTGACAGACCTCTGTTTTTCTTTTTTCTTTTAGCAAAGTATCTTCAAGATGGAGATAGAAGACTGCAATGGACGATCTTACCTATCTGGTATGGAATTTTTTGCATTTCTCTGGTTGAAATTGATGTTTTCAATGTGATCTTTTGTCTTGGTTTCTTTTCTTATTAAAATATATATTGCAGCACTTCTAGCTTTTTATCAGACTAAACTTCTACTTCCGGCACTTTTAAACAAGAATATTCAAAATGACTGAAGGTTGAGGATCCTCATGACTTCTTTCCCAATGTAAGGTGGGGATTAATACCTCCATTTGTTGCTCTCTTGAAGATCTGAAGATATAAATATTGGAGAATATGTTTTTTTTCTCCACCCTTTTTACTCTTGGTCTGTGGTGCTTGCTCCAAGGAACAACTGATACTAAAGGTCAGGTACTGTAAGTTGGTTGAGTTCAACAGCACAAATATTTTAGAGCAAGGGTCAATCTGGGTATGTGAATAGATACTTATAACTTTATTATTTTTATTTAAAATTAAAATTTAGCTTGTAATTGATTTGATGGATTAATATATAAGCATCTATATTTCTCTATTACACACTTACTGGTTTTTAAAATATTTTGATAATCATATTTGAGCATAATTGGTTTCCTTTGTAACACAGTTTATGTTTATATAGTTTATTTTATGTATTTAAATGCATTCTTCTGAGAAGGGATCTTTAGGTTTCATCAGACTAAAGGAGTCAATTGCACAAAAACAGTAAGAATCTCTAGCTTAGAAAATTGTAAATTTCTTTCTTGTCTTCCTTGTGAGGGTTTTGGTGCTCTCTAGGCTTGGTTGTTTGCTTATAGATGTTTTGTTACCCAACTAGGTCACATCATCAAGATAAGTGTGGAGTTTGCTGCTGTTTTATATGTATACTACCTTGCCCTGCTAGATTTGATGGGAGTGTGATTTTCTCCTTGGTAGTTCCTTGATTAGAGCATTGTTTTTTGCCAAAAGGTGCAGGGTAAGCTATTGTAAATAAACAGGTTGTCATGGTTCCGATAGATGAGACCAGTAAAAGCAGAACTCCAAGGCAAGAGATTTCCTTAAATAACATGTTTATTGGCTACAAAGTATCAGCACAGTCAAAAGTGAAACCAAGTCTGGAGTTCCCTCCCAAGCATTACAATATTATAAAGTTGAACTTCCTACCCCAGCACTATGTCATTATCCACGTTCCCCAATAGAATACTTTGGCGGGCTTTCTAATGGAAGGCTCAGCCTGCCAAAAGTCAGGCAGCTATGACCTTGGTTCCCACGGGACAAATTATTGTTTAGTCTAACCTTAAAACACTCATCCCCCTTCCCAGTACTGTGACAACCGAAAATGAAGAAAAAATGGCTTCAGTCAAGATCGTTGCAGTGTTGACAGTGGTAGCAAATCCTAGTTAGGTAACAACATGTCTGCAAGGAAACAACCAAGCTCAGAGAGTATCAATTAATTCCATGGTTGTATCCTGAGCTGTAGATATTTTCATCTATTCATTTCCCGTCCTTCCTACACCCATATTAGACTATGGTCAGTGCCCCAAGGCACAATTTGACTCAGGAGATTCCATTCTGGTCTCATCTTTTTCTTGGCTCTGTTGGCTTGAAGCAGTGTGCCAAAACTGGAGGGGCAAGGGATGGGTGAGGTGATCTTACTAAGGCTACTGCACAGTGATTGTGTTCTGAAGAGCAGATGTCAAAAAATACTGGAGTTTGTCCTCAGCCTGCTGCCAAATTTGGCATATATTTTTGCTATGAAATATAGCAGACTTGCATCTTGGGCCACTAATTCAAAACAATTAAATTAGTTGTTTGTCTGACAACCTCCTGTTCTAGAAATGATAGGTTTCTCTGTGTTTAGTAGCTGAGAATAATCAATTAACTACAAATTTAAATTAAACCTTTCTCCACCAGAATTACCTGGCTGATTCAAAGAGTTTTCACTGAACACAATCTGTTTTCCAGGCATACTTAATATTTTTCTGTAAATGTTTTGTCAGTTTGGTCATTGGCTGCATTTTTTGTTACTATAGGGTTAATATGGGATTCATCTCTCTGTGTGTGTGAGCAGGAGCACCCCTTTACTCTTCTTTTTAAGCCATCTGTTTTATTAAATCTCCTGAGATATTTTTTGATCCTATCCCTTAGCAGGTCCTAGGTAGTCTATGAAATGGCTGATTAATGGACAAGGACAACCTTTTTAGCTGGTATTCCCTTTGACTTTTCTTATAGGTCTACACATATGTTGTATATAGTATGTATATGTTGTATATAGTATGTTTAGGTGTGTCATGTATGTGTTTACTTTGAGAGCGGGCAACTAAATTTCATTTTTGATGTGTGTCGTCGTGCCTACAATAAAAAATGACTATAAAGGTTATCTTATCTATCTTATCTTATCTTGGGCTAACAGTAGCCCAATACTTTAAAATTTTTGGAAGGGTTATCCCCATCCATTGTATTTAAATGTAGATTCCTCTAAAATTAATTGCAGTTCTTGGGAGATAAATGGTTAAAGGGATTTAATTTAATTTAACTTCTGCTATGCATGTAATAGTTTATTTTAGAGATGGAGGACTGGAAGTAAATTCCTTTTACTGATGGAAAGGGTGGGAATAAATTTATTAGTATTAGTATTAAAGTTGGGACAGGTGGAGCAAATAAGTAGAATAATTTTAAAGGTATATAAATATGCTAATACTTTAATTCTGTACCTTATTTTAATTTTAAATATGTAAATGTATTTGGCCTTACCTGTAAATAGCTCTGGTTTCATGAAATCCTTTTTGTGATTACAGTAGTACCTTGATAGGATCTGAAACTTCCTAATGTGCCTATTGGCTTAAAAGTATCAGCCTGGTTGTTTATTATCCCATTCCAGATCATGCTTCTGAGATGTGAGTTGAGATTAAAAAAAGTGACTAGCCCAAAGTCTCCCAGGTACCTTTCATGCCTGAGGGAGAACTAACATTCTTGGCCTCTTTGTTTCCAGCCTGGCACCTTAGCCACTGCACCAAACTAGCTCTCAGTTTACATAAAAGTTGATAAGATTCACATAAAGGGGGAATGTAGAGAAGATAAAAAGTGTACTTCTGGGCCAAGCTGATGAATAAGATGGACCAAAAGCTTTCCTTTCATATAGCGTTTACAAAGGATTTAAATGGTGCCAGGAACACAAATGAATATATTAAACTCATTGATGTAATTAAAAAACATACTCTAGTTTGGTTGTTAGAGGTAAAGTGTGGACAGATTGACTTTGGGAAAAAGAATATATATTTTGATTGGACAGGAAAGCATCATGGAAGAATAATTCTGACTAAAAGAATCAGAATTACTTGCAGAATAATATTTATTGATTTAAATAGCAAACAGATGGAATATGGGTCAAATGCAACCTTTGGAAAAAATAAGCTGGCTGTTTTTTAATCATTGGTGTAATAGATACAACCATTTGGCAAGGATTTTGATTACTAATGAAGTGTCTAATATAAAAATTACAGTAGTTTAAAATCAAACCCACTAATTTATTGAAGAAAAATTCAGAAAGTAGAGCATGTTTTTTTTTATAGACAAAGTTTACTGATGACGTTACTGGGGGATTAATAGTTTCGAACAGTATAAAGAATTAAATTGATGTCATATATTCTACAGTGCAAGTTGTTGATATAAAATAAGAATTATAGCAGGGAACTATTGTACTCTGAGAATATGCAATCTTTTGGAAGCTGTGTGGTGGTGCCTTAAGAGCTGAATATTTGAGAGCTACCTTAATGAATTCCTGTCAAATGAAGTCTGTGCTTTGTGATTAAAGATGCAGTAAATTGCTTATCTAGTTACCTGTCTAAAGGTATGATAAGAAATTAGTATGATAAGAAATTAGTAATCTGTAGGTCACAAATTCTGGTAATTAGTAGGCTAATTGTGTATAGAAGTGAACAATTAGGTGTAGCTGTTTTATGAAATACTGATTACAGGCAATCCCCAGGTTAAGATCCGGTTCTGTTCCCTAACTCTGCTTTTAACCCAAATTTGTATTGAAGTTGGAACAGGTTACTCTGTACCTATTCTGCATATCAGAGATGAACAACAAAGTTTTTTGTAAAATTTAAACTTACAACTTTTTCATTTTACTAGACCACCACTGACATTTGCATCATTCTTTCAGAGATATTTCCTTACCTAAATAGAAAAACAGAATGACCAGGCAAAAAAGCAGTGGAAGCAACTTCCAACTGCCATTTTCCTCATTGAGGAAGCTGACAGAGTGCTTGGAAATCACTTTTCCATCACCTCCTTCGCTAACCCATGAAACTACCTGACACTTTGCTGAGTGGATGGTGTATAAATATAGCTTTGAACTGTGTGGAAAACTACATCATGCTCCCTATACTGGAATGTGCCCCAGGACTCCTCCCTTCAGAAAGAAAGTGGGCTCATCCATCAATAATTGTTGCCCTAGAACAGGGGTAGGCAACCTTGGCTCTTTTATGACTCGTGGACTTCCAGAATTCCTGAGTCACCATGGCTGGCTCAGGAATTCTGGGAGTTAAAGTCCACGAGTCATAAAAGAGCCAAGTTGCCTATCCCTGTTCTAGATTAGACTTCTTAACACAAATGCAAAGCAGTAGACCAGTAACGGCATTTGAAAGTGCTAAGTCTGGGCCTAAAGTCAAGGCCCATGCCTTGTCTTCAGCCTTAGAGTCACCACTGTCGCTCTAAAAGGCTGCCTTACTCCGTTCTCCAGGATCTGCCGCACATCACACACCTTCAAACGGTATTCTTTTTCTGTTGGGAGGGCCCCTGCAGCCTACCTGAGGTTTTCATTCTTGAAGTGGATTCAGAGAATGCTCTTCCACAGCCTCTACAACCTTTGAAAAATTGTGTGAAAGTACGGCCATCTGAGGCGACTTTTGGAGGGCTTGGAGACCCCATGAGAGTACACTCCAGTCTTGTGCAGCCTCTGTAAGCGTTCAAAAATTTCACAAGAATGAGATGTGCTTTTGAGAATATTTGCTGTTGGGTGGTTGGTGGATGCTGGAGTATCACGGAAAACCTTGTAGTTTGTCGCCTTTGAATGTATGTTATAGGTTCAGCATCACTGCCCTATGCCTTCCAATTTTGCCCAACTGAAGGGTACAAACACAGAGATACTAGAGTGTTAGTTGTTTTAGTAGTATATAAAACTGAATTATGGGGGAGACAGACTTCCAGCAAAGAGAACCCAATTCAAGAAGTTCTGGCTGGAATTCAGTCTCTCACCATTCTGAGGACAAAGTAATCTCACTCAAAATGGCAGATGATGTGCTTCCTTGAGAATACAGACCACTGATGCTGCACAATTTCATGAATCACTGAAAACAGACTGAATACAGTATTAAAAATGCATGTACTACTTTGTGACTCTCATAGAAGCATTGTGCAGCTTCAGCAGTTCATTGGTTCATGGCAGGAGAACACTGTTTGCCATTGTGAGCTAGATCACGTTGTCAATCAGCAGTCTGCCATTTTAGGTACTGTAATAGGTTAGCCCTCTGCCATTTTGTAACAGGCAGCCCTGTTCATACCAAGGGTTGACATTCATACCTAAGTCGGACATTCTTAACCCGAGAACTGTCTGTACTCAGCATTTGGAAATACCCATTTGAAAATGTGGACTAACCATCTAAGTTACTGCAGGCTAGATTTATAATATGGATTTTGATAGATCTGCTCGGGAGAAAGTTTTAAAAGGCTGTAGGCCAACCAAGCTTTTACTCATTGATTGTTATAAGAAACTGGAAATATTTTAAATCCTACCGGTTTAATGTGATAGATGCTTGTTTGCTAGATGGGAATTAGTAAACAAATGTGTTTATATAATATCGAACCACTTTAAGAACCACTGTTTGCTGATTTTAATGAGTTAGTAAAAAAGTTATGTCTGCCTATTTGGCCTATCATTTGATTAAACTCATATACACATGTGCAGTCCAGTATGTTACAAATTATTTGGATCCCCTTTTCCATTGTGTTCTTCCTGTATTATTTTTATCACACTACTGTGCCATATGGATCAGTAAACAAAGCTATAATATGAAAAACTATAAAGAAGGAAATTATTTGAGGGATCTTTCCCATTCCAAGAAACGTAATTGTTTGTGGCCTTTAAACTGCACTTTTGCAAAACGTGGAAAAGATATTCAGCGGGTATTTCACTAGAAAGAAAAATTGTTTGATACTACCGTTTCTCAAAAGGAATAAAAAACCTCCCATTGTTATGGAAACATATGTAAAATAAGTCTCTGCTTTTCCTAAAAACAAGATCAAGATTTGATGACAGCATAACATATTCGCATATTTGTGTTAGATAATGATAGAATTGCAACTATTTACTGATGTATCGACATATACTATATGTCAGTTTTATATATTTTTCTGTTGTATTTTTTCAGTTATTTTAAGCACGTTATATATTTTTTGGATTGTATATATTTTTGTGCTTTGTTCCTTTGTTTTTTTTTCCTCTATTTTAAAAACAACAAAATACCTTTAAAAATTTAAAATACCTCTAAAAATTTAGAGATCATTCAGATCATGGCATCTGTCCTGTCACCACTAAAATTTGCAACATCATCCTTGTTCTTAGCAGTGGAAGCACCATATTTTTTCTCTTATTTGTTTACCTCTTTTCTGGGCCTTCCATTTTCTTTTTTAAAAGTTTATAAATTGCAAATTGTATATCCCTTCTCTTTCACATTCTTCCTATGTCAAGCATTGTGGGTGACTCATTCAAGAAAAATATTTCCAGGACAAAAATTTCTGGTGTGTCTTCCCCTTGTAGTCAAAAAGCATTTAAATCCCCTATTAATAAATCCTGTATTAAATATTAGAGCAGACTTGTATCATAAGAATTTCCCTTCCTTCTTTCCCTTGTAGCTTTTCATATGAGCCATCACCAAATCTGCTCCAGGGATCTTTTAAGCTTCCAATAGGAACAATGAAGGCTGGAGAGGATGAAAAATCCAGCCAGTTCTGCAAGGGGTCTAGAAAAGTCAGAGGATTATGTAAAATTATTTTTTTCTGTTTCAAATTCTCCTCACTACTGATAATGAGAACTTAGGAAGCAAGCACTTGTTCTGAAATAATTAAAGGTGAATTTTAAATTGATTAAAATCAGGTACTCTAACTGCTCATTCTGATCCATTTTAAAAAGTGTCCCTGATTAATTGGGAGAAAGATCTTTAATGTTATTCCTAACAAAACATACATAAAAATAAGGGTAGTAGTTATCACCTCGCAAGAATTAAATGTTTCTTCTCTCTTTTACGTGGAGAATGAATTCCTTCAAAGAAAATGCTGGCTGTTGCATTTTTGCATAATTGAAAAATGTAAAACATTTCTTTTAAAGGATTTTTAATATGTAAACTGATTACATTTGCATAACACTCGTATATGATCCTTTTTGGTTTGGGGGATTGCTCTTTTTAAAAAGGTTGGGATAAAAATATAATATACATTTCCAATAAAAAAGCACAAAAGCTTTATTTCCAAAAAGTTGATAAATTCTCAGTAGAGGTAGCAAAAGGAAACACATCCTTTTTGTATAGAATTCAGTAGAATAATAGATTTTTTAAAAAACACATCCAGTAAATTTGGGACAGCTTTCAAGGTTCTTTTTAAAGGCCGAATAGTAATTTATAGATATTTCTGACCAAAATAATGGAATAATGTATTTTTTTTTATTTCTTTACTCCACTTACTTGATATTTCCCTTTCAATTTATAATAGGGAATGTTCTATGTATTTATTCACTCATTCTCACCATGCACTGCTAGTTTGGATCTGGCTACTGCTTTGTCATGATAATGAGACCAAAACATAGAGATGTGTTTAAGCCTCACTGGACTAGGTCTGAAGCAACTACCAATAGATTTTTCCTCAAGTGAAATACTGAGAGACCGTATTTCAGTTTATAGTGTGCTAAAAACTCTTATGTTTTAAAAGTGACACATTCTTTCCTACACAGCATCCATGACAGTTGCCCAAGTGATGGCAAGCAGATAACTGATTTTTTGTTTTGGTTGTTGTGGTTACCCTCAGTTAGTCTGGTCAAGATTTGTTTTTTTTAAAAAAAAAAAATCCCTAAGGAATGCCACCCAGAAGCTGATTTAGGAGACAGGACATAAAGCATGGCGGGGAAAAACCTTAGTCTCAGCCCAAGGGGACAGAGATTGCAGCCGTATAGATTCCTGCTTTCACAGTGCTGCTTGACTGTAAAATGACGGCCGTTTCTCTCACTTCCAGGAATCTCTTCTTCCTGGAAGGTGAGTGGCTGAGTTCACCCTACTGCCGAGATGCAGCCACACACACTCACAGCCTGTATTCCACTGCTGTTTCCAAGGAGTTGGCTGTGATAACACTCCAGGGTATCTTCAGCAAGCTAGAATAATGTAAGTTAAACGGGGAGGGTGTCTGTCTGGAATAACTCCATGCTGCTTCTGTTTTTATTTACACTTGGCGCCATGGGGAGTGTTGGTAGAGGGTGTTTTTGATGCCATGCAAAACAGTGGAGGAAGCCAATCACTTAAACAGAGACAAATTGATCTCTAGAATTCCTGATGTCTGTGCAACGCAAACAGTGACAGCTTGGAAATACATCTGCGGGCTTTTGGATATGGATGAACAAGGACAACAAAAAGAGCAAGATGTGGCCAGTTTCTGTTTATCAAAGGAACTGCTAAAGGTTCCCGTTTTTCCTCTCCTCCCTTCCCCTCTCCTTCTTGAACCCTGTGGAGAGGTTGGACCATTATTCACAGTGTATGTTATGATATAGTGCAGAAAAAATCCTTGGTCCAAATAACTTGATGGTATTAGGGAGAACAATTCTTAGTTCAAATTGCTGATAGTTTATGCTGGCTATTTTGCGTAATACTATCAGTGACTTCTAATTCAAAACATTATTAGGAATATGCCACTATTTCTGGGCTTACACATAGATGGAAATGCCCCTCACATCTTTCTGTTTAACCCTCTGACAAATCAAGGTGTTTAGACAGTGATTGAGAGATGATCATCTGGGTATAAAAGTCTGAATTCTAGGGAGAAAGGGACAAAATGTTTAAAAATTCATAAATACTTAGTTGTACTAATATGAATCCTGGGTTCACCTAGCTGATATTATATGTTTTCAGAAAATCTTGGAACATGTTAAATAAACTGAGTGTTTAGAATACAGATGCAGAAGAAATTACCTGTTTCTCTTGTTAAAGGTTTCATCACTTTCCAGATTTGAGCTGGTGTTCAAAATATTCAATGGTTTCCAGGAAATGGGCATACTTAAGGGGTACTGAAATGTGCAAAAGTTGTTGAGGAATTTGGTTTTGTTTGGAGAGCAATTTCTGGGTTATAATGATGGAGTCTGCTGTCCTAGATGCATAGCAAACACCAGCAGGGAAGTTGTCCACATTGTTATCTATATATACATTTGTATTATCATCCTCTGTAGTATGTTTAGAAGCCACCAGAATAAATATAAGGCTTAAAGAAAGTATATTATTAATAGATAAGTGATACATTTGATATTAAGGTGCCTGCTGGCAACTAAGGAATATTGTCTCACTTTACTGTGAATTTTTTTAAAAAGATTAATCTAGGCCAGGGGTAGGCAACCTTGGCTCTTTTATGACTCGTGGACTTCAACTCCCAGAATTCCTGAGTTGAAGTCCACGAGTCATAAAAGAGCCAAGGTTGCCTACCCCTGATCTAGGCCCTTGTATGGAAGCTATATTTGCAGTAGCAAGAGTCTGTCTCTTGCTTAACTATGAACTGAGTTCACATACTATATAAAATAATATATATTGGGTGACTTTGGGTTTGTCTTAACCCAGGGGTAGGCAACCTTGGCTCTTTTATGACTGGTGGACTTCAACTCCCAGAATTTCTGAGCCAGCCATGCTGAGGGACAGGGAGAGGTTTCCAAGCTCAGCCATGCTGGCTCAGGAATTCTGGGAGTTGAAGTCCACCAGTCATAAAAGCCAAGATTGCCTAGCCCTGCCCTAGGCCGCTTTATGACTCATAGACTTCAACTCCCAGAATTCCTGAGCCAGCCATGCTGAGGGGAAAGGGAGAGTTTCCAAGCTAAGCCATGCTGGCTCAGGAATTCTGGGAGTTGAAGTCCACGAGTCATAAAAGAGCCAAGGTTGCCTACCCCTGTCTTAACCTAACCTCCCTCATGGTAGTTGTAGAGAAAATGGGAAGAGGGAGCTGTTGTGCTGCCTTCAGCACCCCAACCAGAAGCAAAATCCAGTTTTAAGAGATAACTAACTACAAGAGGTCAAAATAATAAACAACAATGCCAGAGTTCATACTAACATGCTGGTAAAGTACATTTTGGCTTAATGTGAGGTGTGATCCCAGCCTGTTCTAGAGCATTTCAGGCAGACTAAATATTTCGCCATTGATAAACATTACAGTGCATACAGCATTAGAATTCAAAAGAGTTATGCTAATGTGGGTATGCTAGTATATTAGTTCTTCAGATACACTTGTTTTAGTTAGAAGAGCAATCTGCAGTTTGAAATGTAATGACAGCTTTTAGTCCTTATAATAAAAATGAAGTGTAAAGTTTTACACCAGAGTGTACATTTATAGTTTTGTCTAAATGCTGTCTGCTTTGCTTTCCCACCTCTTATGCAAGGAGCTTTTTCTGTTGTAATAATCTTGGTTGCTCCTTCCTTGCTTATCAATTCTGATGCAGTGACTCTAGTTTTTCCTAGATTTCAGTTTAATGATTATTGTAACTTAAACTGTAGCTCGATCCTAATTGTTAATAAATTGGATTTAGTAATAAATAAGTATAAAATTGCTGCCTAGATTAGAATTCTATTGACATAGTCTGGAAACCCTGGTTTAAACAAACCACAATAATGTCTAAGCCACAGCATTTTAAACTGTGTCGCTTTTCCAAATTGCCTTTTAAATTAGGCATATCTAATTTCTTCAACTTTGTTTTATATGAGATGATTTAAGCATCATATTGCATTTTAGTCATTTAAATTTAATATTATCAGCCTGTGTCACCCCATTCCTCTTCCAATATATTGTTGGCTTCTCAGAGAGATCACTTTATATACATTCTTAATCACATGTAGTTAAGGGAAAATGTGGTCAGGAATCATTTTTACCTTGCAAAATGCTTTGAAAGTTCAAGGAGACATAGTATATGGTGGTGGTTTCTAAAATGTCCATAACACTCTTGCTGAATGAACTCCATTACTGTATTAATGCCAAATCTTTTAGATTAGGAAATTTTGGCAGCTAAAACTTAGTGCTTCAAGAGACTGATAAATTCTGAAATTCCATGAGTGCTGGAAACTTGACTAAATTTGGCCTGGCTTTTAAATGAATGTAGGAGCAGGTTTGGATAAGGAATAATTTGAATGTGTCTCCTTTGTTCTAGGACAGGGATGTCAAACTGCCGGCCCATGGGCCAGATGCATCATAGCGAAACTACGCCCACCCCATTGCCGGCAATGGCAAAAAAGTCACAACACATCACCTGATGTTGCAAGTTTGACACCCCTGTTCTAGGATCAATAAGATTTTCTTATGAATCTCTCTTCTTCAGAATCTCTTAACTGGTTTGGTTGAGAAATACAGCAATAACAATACCTGAAATTTACAGAATTCATATCTAAGTATCCTAAAGATTATTCCTAAATTGAAATGTTATTATAGAGACCCAACTTGGTAACAGTTGGATACAATCTCACAAAACCTGAGAAAGAAAAAGCCTCATGATTTGTAAGCATTTATAAATAAATATTGAGATAGATAAGCACCCACCTGCCACAAAATGTGAGTGCAACAGAAGAATACTTAATATATTTAAGGCATTTTAAGAAGAATCACAGTAGGATAACTTTTGAATAAAAAATGATATAGAAGTAATCCTTGACTTACAGCCATTCATTTAGTGACCATTCAAAGTTGCAATGGCACTGAAAAAGTGCCTTTGACTCGTCCTCACACTTACAACTATTGCAGCATCTTCATAGTCATGTGATCAAATTTTGGGCACTTTGCAAACAGCATGTATTTACAACAGTTGCAGCATCCTGGGCTCATGTGATCACCATTTGCAATCTTCCCAACCAGTTTCCATCAAGCAAAGTCAGTAGGGGAAGCCAGATTCATTTAATGACCACATGATTCACTTAACAACTGCAATTATTTACTTAACCATGGCAAAACGATCGTAAAATGGGAGTGGCTTATTTGACAACTGCCTTGCTTAACAACACAAATTCTGGTTTCAGTAAGTTGAGGACTACTTGCATTGGGCTTTTTAGAATATCAAAACTCAGAAGTAGGCTTATAGGAAGAAAATACCTAAAACAACTATAGCATTAGCTTAGTACTTCTCATTCTCATGAGTGTGTGTGAGCAAGAGATATATAGTCTATATAGAAATTTTGCAACAAAATGATATTATACTGGGCAGTAAATTACAAGTAGGCACAGCTAGGCAAGTATTAAATGGGTATGTTCATTGTAAGTTTCTTTTTAAATACAAGCACTTTCATATGATATAATGATGTGTAACTGTGAAGAAACTAAAAGTTTTTTAAGTAAATACAATATCTCTATTGAGAATTTATCTTTTTATGATAAATGACAGCAAGTCAGTAGTATTCTAATAAAGAAATGAAATCAAACTTCTACTTCATTATGATGCACATTTTTGGACTGTTGGTACATGTAAAATGTCAGATTTCCAAATGAGCAGAATATTGACATGAGAATGAGAACAAATAAATCCATACACTAAAAAATAAAGACATTTGATATAGGTGCACCTTGAGATAAACAAAGCTGACATCATAGCTTAGTTTCTCTAAAAAGACAAATTGTCTGATGTTTTGAACATACTGAGGACCTAGCAATATACAATTGTATGAACATGAATGGCCAAAGTCTCATTTATATAATTGAAAGTTCATCTCGAAATTGAAGTGTCTCTGTCTAATCATTGGTATGATATATAGATTTTTAAAGGAATCCCAACTGCTGCTGCATATATATATTACAACCATTCAGCCAATCTAGAAGAACCATATTATTTTGACAATGCACATTCAACAGCTCCCAGGATTCTGAACATGTTTGTGAATTTTCAGTCTGATAAACATGAGCATTATAGTCTTCATGTAATGTATGTGGCTTTACCAGTATCTGGTATCTCCTGAACATTGATCAGATGCAGATCAGCAGTGAGCAAGGGGCCCAGATGTTCCTCTAATCATCCCAATGATATTGTATGACAATACAGTATGTGTTGTTTTGATTCTGATAAGCTTGGATTTTGCTTCCTATATTATTCACTAGGAGCACCAGTAGTTAATTTTTCTGTTGCAGGTTGCAAAGGCTGTGTTCTCTTCGTTTACATAACATTTTTCCCTCTAGTATCCTGATCATGGAAGAAATATATTTATTTCTTGAGATATTCTTGTAACAAATTTCCCATATTGACCTCTGCTCCTTTCTTCTTTTTCCTTGCTAAAGGTAGTGGAGATTCCTCTTTGGAAAAGGAGTTCACCTCCACAATTGTGGGGCCCACAGTGAGCACACCAAACAGCCAACACTCCTCTCCAAGCAGGTCCCTTAGTGGTGAGTACACAATATCTGATTCCAGTAGGGTATTCTTGAAATGTGTCACACAGATTATGGTCAGAGCAGAAACTTTTGTTTATCTAAGGCAATAATTGTTTTCCCTTTAATGTTATCTGAAAAGGCCTAGATAATAGCCATTGTTTGAAAATGTGCCTGGCATTTATTTTGCATGAGATCCCGGTTTAAAACAACAACAACAACAACAACTACTGGAGGAATAGCAGAGTGAGGCTTTCTGGATTTTTCTGCAGAAAAAATAGTGGTTTTATGACATATTTTTGTCTGAGAAATTGAGTCATTCCACAATTTGTATACAGTTTATACAGTTTCCAATACTGATTTGGAAATACTGCAACAGAACCCATTTCTAGCAATTTAGACCCTGTTCAGAATTTCTTGCAATGCATTCAGGGCCTTGAAGGCTAGTAGTTTTTGCTAGTCATTCCATTACTTGTGCAATGAAACATAAAAGGAATTCTGCATATGTTTTGCCAAAGCCCCCAAAGATACCTTCCCCTTCTCAGGGAGAAGCTAGCTAGCTGGCTGGTGGTGCTGTGTCTGATTTGCCTTGATTCATTGCTGGATAAGCCAACAAGCTCTTGTCTCAATGGAACAGAAGTATTGCATAGCCTGTTTTGCCAGCATGACTACATACTACTATTCTTCTGTAAGGAAGATTGAAGAACAATAGCTAAGTTATCCAGGAGGGGGAAAATGCATCTAAGGAGATTGGAAAAACATCCACATTCAGCCAGCATTAATGTATCCGAGTAATTCTTGTCCCAGTGAGAAACCTTGTACTTCATAATTGTGCACAGCAATGTCTACTTGTCTTTCTTTCTTTCTTTCTTTCTTTCTTTCTTTCTTTCTTTCTTTCTTTCTCTCTCTCTCTCTCTCTCTCTCTCTCTCTCTCTCTCTCTCTGTGTGTGTGTGTGTGTGTGTGAGAGAGAGAGAGAGAGAGAGAGAGAAAACACAAAGTCTCCTAACAATCTTATTTTCTGGAACTAAGAAAAACTCCTGCTCAACATTTTAGTTGTGCACCACCCAGTTGTACGCCATATTTGTAAAAAGATTTCTTAGGCAACTCTACTATTGACTATGTCCTTATTATACAAACAGGGGAGCAATAAAGTCTGTTGAGTTACCTATTGCTATTAATACTAGATGTAGATGTGTTCACCATTAGGCTGTCTCTGTGTAGATAGAAGATTATCACTTTGGAAAGACATTATATCTCATTATATTAAATCTTATTGGTTCCCAGTTTTTCCTCAGCATAAAATTGGTCTGTGTAGCACTAAAAGACAGAATTGATTATCCTCCAGCTTCTTTCAGATGTGCTGAACTGCAACTTCCATAATCCCCAATCAACATGATAAGTGGGTAGCTTATTGTAGGTGTTGCTCTCCAGGAAGCCAACCAGCCATGATCTGAGTGACTGTTTACTCTTTCTCATCATGTCACATAAAAGAATCTATATTTATCCAATTCTTTTAGAAGTACCTTAAAGGAGTGAAAAATGTGAAGACTCGGGTTTATTTGACATAAAGACCTAGTTGCAGCCTTTTAATTAATGCCACGATATTGTCTATAAGTACTACCTGTGTATGCCCATCAATACACTTGTGTCTTTTCCCCCCTTCAATTCACATGATAAGCTACAACAGAGCTGGGGGAAGATGTGCTGGCAGTGACCTACATTCCTCACTATTATAATGCTCTGTGGAATGCCACAAATTAAGTAGCTTTTAGAAAAATACATAATAATTAGATGGTAGTAGCCACCTTTATTTTAGAGGCTACCTCACAGTGTCTGCGAGTTTTCCAATAACATATAAGGGTAAAAATGCTACCTTTGACTTCAGTCAAGCTAGACATAGCTGCAGCAGCAGTATGCTCACATGTCTGAATGAAGTTAATTACTTCCTATCTGGATAGAAAAATAACTAAACCTCCATCTTCTTATTGTGCTAGGTGCTATTGTTCCAAGCAGTTGTTTTCAGCCTCATACAAGGCAGTAAGGAGAAGTTTAGATCAGCTTCCTTTTTTATTGTAAAAAGCTTCACCTTCATTTTTAAGTCAGCAGGTCAGACAGACAGAAAGGAAGCACAGGTAATCAGTGGTAGAGTATCTGCTTGCATCTCCGCACAGATGGAGAAGAAGCTTTTGTCTGAAACCCTATTGAACTACTGCATATCAGCATTGACAGCTCTGAACTGTATGGGCCATTGATCTAATAATGTAAGGCTTTTTTTACAATCCTAAACAAACTTCCTCATGATATCTAGTCTGGTCCTCCTTTTTGCTACCTTGCACTGCCACAGAGTGCTGTATAGATCAGCACAGATCAGGAGAAGATGTGAATATTAGATTTCATCTTGATAAAGGAATAATTATGAAATGGAATAACTAAGCAATTATATATCATAAAGTAGAGACAGGAACTCCTCGTTTTTCATACTGCAATTTGGGAAGCTGTACTGTGGTTCAGTTCCCTGCCAAAATGCAAAGTCCGACCTAATGTATCCGATTCCTTCAATCTGTCCCCAGTAGAAAAGCATCTATGTTCAGCGTCTCAGAATGGAACTCCCCCTCTCCAGTTAGCAGTGATCTTATCCACATTGCTATTTGGCTGGTAGGAAAAATTGGGTAGAACTTTAAGGATCGCTGAAGACCATTTATTTATTTATTTATTTATTTATGAGACTTATATACCGCTTTAAGTGCAAGCACTCTCTAAGCGGTGTACACCAGTAAGCAATGTATATATATATATATATTTACATTGCCCCCAACAATCTGGGTCCTCATTTTACCTACCTCGAAAGGATGGAAGGTTGAGTCAACCTTGAGCCGGTGAGATTTGAACCGCTGACCTGCTGAACACAGTCAACTAAAGTGGCCTGCAGTACTGCACTCTAACTGCTGCACCACCTCGGCTCATTGTATGTCTCTTAGCTTATAGAGTATAGATTGTTTGTGCCTAAAGTTTTTTTTTCCTGTTCTGTGAACATTCCAGCATTTTAGCTTCATGTCCACTTTATTTAATGCATAAAAGACAAAGAACAGTTGTAGATGATACCTATGAAATGCTTCACATTCATATAATGGTTAATCAAATATGAAATAAATTTCAGATTTCTTTATACAGAGATAGTCTGCTATCTGACTTGGTTTTCCTGCTTTTAAATATGTAATATATTTTATCTTTTGAAAGCACCTCTTGGACATCATTTGATGATATTGGATTTGTTAGTCTACTGTTTTCTCCCATCAGAAATTAGCACTATGCTCTAATACACAGGTTGTCTTTCTTTAGTGAATGCTTCATGATAGTGACCGTTTGCAGTTATGACAGTAGTAAAAAAGTTACTTTACAACCAATCCATTTACGACCTTCACAAGTCTGTAAAACAAAGCAAAGCTAAAGTAAGGTCATAAACAGCCATGGTTTTACTTAATGACTGTTTGTTTAGTGATCAAATTGCTGGTCCCAATTATGGTTACTAAACAAGGACTGTCTGTAATACTCGAATATCCTAAACAGCAAGGACTTTTTGTGGCACTTCAAAAATAAATAACTTCATTATAGCACCAGATTTTCTACATATGTCTCTGTCATTAGATACATATAGCATTATATTGAGAGTGGATCTTCTGTGGAAAAAGAAGATACTATTCCTCCTTTCTTACATCAAGTTGTAATTTAGTTGTAAATAGTGCATGTTTCATGTTCTTAAATTTCTTAGTTGAAAAGTTCTAATATTATGAGATAAAGAGGGAAAAGCATTATTTCTCTATAGTATGCACTACATTAACAATTGTTTTTTATCTAGTCTTAAATGCCAAAGATCCTTTAGTAATTTTTAATTTTTGCTCAGTATCAATGGTTCCATCCCCCAGAGCCCTTACAGTGTTCTTTAATGCTTACTATTTGCAAATTTTTAATAAATTGTTTTTTATTCTTCCCCCCCCCCCAGCAAATTCTATCAAGGTGGAAATGTACAGTGATGAAGAATCTAGCCGGCTGCTGTCACACGATGACCGGCTCATTGAAAAAGAGGACAGCGTGATTGTAGAAGATTCCCTCTCTGAGCCCCTTGGTTACTGTGATGGGTCAGGACAGGAACCGCATTCCCCAGGTGGCATACGGCTACCCAATGGCAAACTGAAATGTGATATCTGTGGAATGGTGTGCATTGGCCCAAATGTACTGATGGTGCACAAACGCAGTCACACTGGTAAGCAGACTTCTAGGAAACGTGAGCAGTAAAGGCTGGTGATTAGGCTTGTCCTTTGCATAGTTCTTTAAGGTTAAATAATCGAGACCCTGTTAGTCCTACTCAGGCCTTTTAAGGTGCTTCTGTATTGAGTTGCTAGGGACTGAAGCAACTCAATAACTGCAAGTGTAATTATGGAATTTCGATCCTTTCCTTTGACAAATCTAAGACCTGTTGGTGAGTTCATTATTAAAATAGAATTTGAACTGGGAAATCTATTGGTTCATACTCTTTAAATGATGCTAGCTGTTAATATTGGTCAGAGTTGAACAGTTTGCAGCCTTCATTATAGTTTCATATGGCCTTTGAGTTAATTTTAAACCACTATTACGGTTTACCTTTATCCTAAGTATAGAAATCCTTTAGAATTACCTATAAACTATTGTGACCTACAATGAAATTAGAGCTTCATTTAAGTCCTGGTAATAGATAAAAAGACTTGGATTTTAAAAAAAGAGAACACTGTACTGTGCCATATCTTTATTAAAAAACCATCAGCCAATACAGTATTCACTATTTTTGGAAAAAGTATGGGAAGTCCAGGAAAGTCAGGTCTCTTAATAGAGTTCAGCTGACTCAGATGTTCCAATCAGATGATGATCAGTGAGTTTGAAGGACCCTTCCCTTTAAAGAACATACCTGCATTTATTGCTACCATCAGCAGTAAATTTTTGAACCATAAAAAAAGAATTGTCATGAATCTTGTAAGGGGTGCAACCCTATTGCCAAAGAAGGAATCTAAAGTCAGGCAGTTAATATACAAATGAAGAAAATGCAACACTTTTATTATTCTTTAGAGCAGTCATCCAACTGCATCCAGGTGCGTTGTAATCCCGGAGACCAGAAAGAATCCCAAGGTAATGGCAAAGGATCTTCAGGTCACTCTTGCAATGTCTGTTGACAATGTTCACAAATCTACCATAAAAAAACAAAAACACTGCTCCCCAGAAAGCACACTGTTGCTCATCTCAGATCACCTGAATGATCCAACAAGCTACTGGTTTAATGTTCTGTTAGTAGATAAGAATTAGTGGAATTTTCCGACATTAATGAGAGTCATTATGTTGGAGTGTCACAAAAAGAACATCCCAACTGTGAAGTATAAGTGGCAGAAATAGTATAATCTTGCAACCTTAGGAGCCAGGTGGCTCACAAGCAATACTTTAACAATGGATGTTGGCTTATACCAGCAAATTTTATAGGTGATTGTCAGCTTACCTATCCAGGAGCCGAAATGAATGTGGGCCATACAGTAAAACAGCAGCCCTAATCACATAAATTAATCTACAATAGAATGGCTGAAACAGAAGACATTTCATGTTTTCAAATGGCCAAGTCAAATTCCTAAATGAAATATGGCAAGACCTGGAGTGGGCAGTTGATGCAGGATTGAAGTCAAACTGAGCCAAAGTATCTCCAAGCCATTGTTTTGATCAACAACATTGGATCGATTTCCAGTGTTTGGAAAGAGAAAATGTTGTATTCAAGTAAGTTACAGGTAGTTCTTGACTTACAGCCATCTGTTTAGTGACTGTTCAAAGTTACAACGGCACTGAAAAAAGTGACAATTTTTTAGACTTATGACTGTTATCATCCCCACAATCGCACGATCAAAATTTAGATACTTGACAACTGACATGTAAATAATAATAATAATAATAATAATAATAATAATAATAATAATAATAGTAAAGTTGGAAGGGACCTTGGAGGTCATCTAGTCCAACCCCCTGCTCAGGCAGGAAACCCTATACCATTTCGAACAAATGGCTGTCCAGTCTATTCTTTAAAACTTCCAGTGTTGGAGCATACACAGTTTCTGGAGGCAGGTTGTTCCACTGGTTAATTGTTCTAACTGTCAGGAAGTTTCTTCTTAGTTCTAGGTTGTGACAATTGCGGTGTCCCAGGATCATGTGATCACTTTTTGTGACCATCTGATGAGCAAAGTCAATGGGGAAGCCAGATTCACTTAATAGCTGTGTTACTAATTTAACAACTGCAGTAATTCACTTAAGAACTGTGGCAAGAAAGGTCATAAAATGGGGAAAACGCACTTAACAACTGTCTTGCTTAGCAACAAAAATGTTGGGCTCAATTGTGGCCATAAGTCGAGGACTACCTATATTGCAATTTAAAATTCTCATGCACCTTTCAACCAAGACAGTGATATTGGCTCAGTGAGTTCAATAAAAGCATGGCAAGAGCACTCCTTTGTGAGTGGATTTAAAAATACAAACTTTCGACTAACGTTTTAGATAATCGCTCAGTTCATACCTTGTTAAGAACTATTTTTTCTTTTCCTCCAGCCAGATACTTGGAAAAAGTGAGATACTGGAAAGAGAATGAGTGAAAAAGAAGGGTATAAACAGTTTTAGAAATAAGTTTCCTGTCACTTCACTTTTGATTCTTACACTGTCCATTGCCTAACATACTAAACTCTCCCCCAGGAAATTACTTAAGGCATAGGTGGAAAAGGGCATTCCAGCCAAAGATAACACACAAAGAGAGAGCATTCAGTAATTGCTGGTATTATGAAAAACAGGGTAGGTCAAAAAAGTAATAATATAATAATATTACGTACATATACAACTATTAATGGTGTAATGTAACTTCAGAGGAAGAGGTGACGGCTTGAAAATTTATGTCTTTGACAAAACAATTCTAAAACATTTGACCAAATCATTAAAAGTCCTTTTCTTTGTCCCTTGTCAAAAAAAGAAGGGAATCAAACATTGGGAAACACATATGATTGCTGCAAATCTTTTAGAGATTTATTCTAGGCTTGTTCACCCTGCATGCTTAGAAAGTCCACAGTTCTTGATGTTTTGATATATTCCAAATGTTGAGGTAGCTGAGAAAAACAATGTTTGATACTCAACAAAATAAAAAATAAACCTTATTTTAACGTTAAAGAGCCTATTTTTTATCACCTTTTATGCATTTTCCCCAGCTTATAGGATTTTCACTCATTATTTCAAAGCTTGTATAAATGATATCAATTTCATCGAATTATTACAACTTCTTAAAAATGGATTACTGATTTAAGAGTCTCAGTTAATTACTCCAAAGCATTTTATGGATCTGGAACAAGAAGCAGCAATAATATAAGGACTAAATAGTCCAAACAACAAATGTTTTAGTTGAATGTACTGCCAATAAATGCTCTGAGGTAAATCTTTCTAGGTTCTAAGCTCTGCAAATATTAAAGAACAGATTTGATTCAGAAGGACAATATTATGAGACACTCTGTTTTTGTCTCCAAAAGGAATTCACTATCCATTTTGTAATAGAGTTATTCTAATATATAAGCTTTATAATGTTTTTTTTTTTTTAAAAAAAGAATAGGTTGACAAAATGATGAAAAGTCCTTGGTACATTTTTTTTTCCTGGCCAACAGTACAGAAATGTTTTCCAATGCCCTCTTCTGAGACCTCTTTTTCAATTTTCTAATCTAACCTACAACCCTGAAATTCCTGGTATTGTAGTTTCTCATTCAAAAATTAATCAGGCCTGACGATGCTGAGCTGCTGAACCTAGGTTAGTGCTAAAAGGATGAGAAAAAAAATATTTTTATATATAAGATAGTTTCAACAAGACCAAGGAGCCAGACAAGCTTCTCTGATGACCTGCTTATGATATCTCTCCTAGGTGAGAGACCATTCCATTGCAATCAGTGCGGTGCCTCCTTCACCCAAAAGGGCAACCTCCTGCGCCACATCAAGCTGCATTCAGGCGAGAAGCCCTTCAAATGCCCTTTTTGCAACTATGCTTGCCGGAGAAGAGATGCACTCACCGGTCACCTCCGCACACACTCAGGTACCGCGTTTCCCCGAGAGTAAGACCTGCCCTGAAAATAAGCCCTAGCTTGATTTTTTGGGGTGGGCCTAATATAAGCGCTACCAAAAAATAAGCCCTGGTTTTGGGGCGAGGCACACACCTAAAAATTGGGGTGGGGGTGGAGCTGCCCCACTCACTCCACACCTGCTTACCATTGCAACCAGGCTTCCCATGAATTGACACCTGCCTCGGCTTGCTGGCCCACTTCTTCTGCAGTGCCCGCAACCTGCATTTCGCTATTAGAGGCCTTCAAGAAATGCCTCTGCAGCTGAGAATGGAGCTCTAGATTCCCCCCGGCCTGCATTTTACTGTCAGAGGCCTTCTGGAAAGGCCTCTGCAGCGAAATGCAGGGCGGGGGGAGGGGCCACACGTGTCAATCCAGAGCTCTATTTTCAGTTGCAGAGGCATTTCCTTCATCCACAGAAGAAGTGGGCTGGCTGGGCAGCGCTCTCTGTGCCTCTGCTGCGAGGTGAGACCGTGGAAAAGACATACCCCGAAAATAAGATTTGGTGCCTCTTCTGGAGGCAAAAAATAAATAAATAATAAGACCGGGTCTTATTTTCGGGGAAACAAGGTAAGTATCCAACATTTCTCTCAGAATGGGACAACTCGCTGCAGTCAACTCTCTGTGGCCAATTCACCATGGCCAACTCTCCGCGGCCAACTCAGCATGACCAACTCGCCGCAGGGCAACTCACTACAGGACAATTTAATAATTCAATTTAATTATTTAAAATAAATAAAAACATTATTTTAACTTCACATTTCATTCTGTCCCTCCTTTTGCATCCTTTCTTTAATGATTCTATTCCACCATTTTTTTTGATATTACTGTAACTCTTGTCTCACAGCGAGTTGTCCTGTGGTGAATCGGCTGCGGCGAGTTGGCTGTGGCAAATTGTTATAGACCCCATTTCTCTTGGGTCAGAATTTGTAGAATATTTTGTTAGACTGGGAGACTGGTTTCTTGCTCTGCTGCCACCACTGCCAGTGTTACTTGATATTAAATTTACTGCCCTCTGCCAGTCTTTTTTCTGTTCTAATTTTGGCTCTGTGCCTCTAGTGCTTCCTATTAAGTTTGACACCTTTCTCAACCACAGATACTATTTACAGACATATCTAATACTTCCTTCCAAGATTTCATTGTAATGTAGATAGGCTCTCAAATCCAGTAGTGGCTATGCTCAGTCTTAGTTAACATAGAAAGTATGAGTACATTAACCAAATCTTATTTTTAAGGAAAAGCTCTAAATTGAACCAGGAAATCTTTCTGCTAATGACATCGCTTTAGATAAAACAGTGAACATCTCTGCTATGCCATCATAACTGACAAATTGATGATGAGGACGACGACATACTGTTTTTGTAAATCACAGTCCATGAAATGCATACCATAAAGTTACTGAGATCCACAGAAGCTCATATAGTAATGAATTGTTAGCTCTCAGTGTCCTACAAAAATGCTTTCATTTTTTAGCAGCAACAAATGTACATGGCTACTCCTCTGGAAATCTGTTAAAAATGGCTGTCATAATAACATGATGAGTTGAATTTATATTTCTTTGTCCAATAGATAAATATGAGATATTGTCCTTGAATAAAATAAAAAATGGTATTGATTGTTGATATGGGAATGAGTGGAAGGCTTCACAAAGATATTCTCAAATATGTCATTTTATGCTTTTAATATAATAACAGATTATTTTTGTAAAGAGTGAAATCAGTTCATCTATCAAGTTATTGTTTTTTCTTTTCCTTGGTTTCTTTATATGGATTGTGTTGGGGTTTTTTAACTTCATAAGTGTTTTTATATATTTGTGATACTTGTCACTTCATTTCAGGTGTCACATTGGAGAAATGATTGTTAGATTTGTCATTATTATGATAGTTTCTTTAGTTCCCCAGATCCATCTAATGATTTCTTATCCAGACAAATTACCTGTTGTAAGACAGAAAACATTTGAGTTGCACAGGCCTATTCTTTGTGTAAGAACAATGTCTCTGTTGTAGAGGACCTTGCAGAATTGGTCCAATAAAAAATAACTGAACTTTATCCTATTCACAAAATCAACATCTTGACCGCTGTTCTCTGTTATATTAGAATTTTATAGACTAAAATTAGGTATGTTCCGGTCTCTCTATTATCTTGATATGAGTAAGCTACATGACACTTTCCAGACATTTTTAATTTATATCTCTTGATAATTGTCCATATTTGCTGCTGCTGCAAAAGTTCAAGGATCCTGAAAGGCATTATTAGATTGCCTAACTTTGACGATCATGCTTTGCAGTTTTATATGAATAATATTAATGGGACACTTTACATTGCTCCTATGGCATTTCTTAATATTTTTGTAAAATTCACAGTATCCAGATTCACTTGGAATCTTAGTTATTCTTATGTTCTTATTATTGTGAAATGATCTAGTTTCAGTAAATTTCAAGGTATGCAAATTTTCCATTAACAGCTAATATGATTCACAGTTTAAAATAGTAACATTTCTGATCTGGAACAGGAATACAGTCATTCACGTTATTGCTAAAGCTAACCTATAATTGTTTAAAATTTAGACCTGATTATCCAGAAGGGGTATTATCTGTTGCCAGTGAATAAAGCTGGATGAACTTGAACACAGCCAAGTCAGAGAACATTAGTCATTCTTTCTTTCTTTTTATGACCCTTTAATCCCTTTATTCGGAGTGGAATTGGGGTAACTGAATGGAACTGAGTGTTTATGGGCCAGATGCCCTATGTCAGTGGTGGTGAACCTATGTGCCTCTCTGTGGGCACATGCACCGTCTCCCCAGCCCCGCCTCCTCCCACGGCCCCCTCCTCACCAGCAGCCCTCCCCCAGAGGAGAGTTGCCCCTGGGCGCGACCCACACAAAGCAGCAGAGCCAAGGACATGGTAGCTAGGGAGTGGGGACAAGACTCTGCCCTTGCGCCCCGTTGCATGCAGATGAGGCTGCGGGGCATGGGCAGAGGGCATGGGCGCTGCTGGGCTGCCTGGGTGATCTGTGGTGGGCCGTGGAGGTGCTGGGTGGCCCAGTGGGCAGGGTGGAGCGGGGACGGGGGTGGGGGGCAGTTTTGGGGCACTCGGTCTCTAAAAGGTTTGCCATCATTGCCCTATGTGGAATTCGCAGCAGATATTTTCTATTTGTGCCCTGATAGAGAAACATCTGCTGCTGCAAAGGATTGAACTCTCAACCTTCCAAGTAGGAATCGAGCATCTTCACTTCTAGGCCACTGCAGCACTAAATAATTTTTTTTGTTTTGTTTTCTTGTTTATTTATTAAAATCTGAATGTATGAATATAGCAGCCTCTGTTGCACAGCTGAGGATAGAATGAAGTTTGTTCTCGTCTGTACTGTAATGGGAGAGATGGACAAAATGGAGAGGAGAATGCGCATTCCAATGCTAGTGGCCATACATTTATAGAGCAGCCTATCTGGTTTTTTTCAGATCTGTAGTTCTGACTCTACTTGGGATAGTGTTTTTGTTGCATTCTGGGTGCTATGATATTCCTCATGTCTTGATTGATTTGACTGTCAGTGATTTGTAGTACAAGTAGCTATATACTTGGAGAATCATAAGTATTTGATCTTCCTGAAGAATGTTCCGTTTTACATAAATCAGTTGTCACTATGTCTAACCAGTTTCCATTTGGATTGATCCAGGTAACAGCAAGTCCAATCTTCTTGAATTTTTTCACACTTTGGCCAGAACATCTGTAGTGTGCTTAGCATGAATTCAGTACTATTTGGTGTGTAACAATTGACACCTAAAAAAAAAAAAAGCTGAAGTTTTGGGTTTATTTAGTAGCCATTAATGGAAAGGTGTTGGCATTTGCTATCAAGTGATTGGCTGAAGTTTGGGGTTTATTTAGTAGCCATTAATGGAAAGGTGTTGGCATTTGCTATCAAGTGATTGGCCTTTGTGAAGATCAATTCAGCATTGTTCTGGAACATTAGGATAAGTCAATGTTTTTTGTGAGTATTGGCATATTTAAATGTCAGTATCCCATCTTCAGAACAAGACTTGCTCGCCTACTGAAGGGACTGGCTGGAATTGGTGGACTACATTAAATTGCTTGTAATAGTGGCTATTAATGCAGAAGAATTGTATCATTTAACATGGTTGGGAACATAATTCCTGTACTGCTATTTGTGATTTTACTGTCAGCTTCTCCATTGATTCTGCTTGTCATAAGCCAACCGTAAAGTACACAAATGGTAATCACATGACCATGGGACACTGCACAATCGTAAATGCCTACCAGATGCAAAGCACTCAAGTCTCAATCACATGACCATAGGGATACTGTGTGAAGACTGGTCATAAAGTTACTTTCTAAGCACCATGGTTACTTTGAATGGTCACTAAACAGGACAGTTGTGAAGCTAGAATCTCCTGTATATACAGGGTAATTACAGGTAGACTTCGCTTAACCACTCATTCAGTGACTGTTGAAACTTAACAGTGTTGCTAAACAAGTGATACTTACAACCAGTCTTCATAGTTGCAGCCATCACAGTGTCCCTGTGATTACCTCATTACAATCCAAGCTGTTCAGTGACCAGCTCGCAACTCCAACATTACAATGTCGAGCAATGATTCATGATCACCATTGCAGCCTACACTGCCAGTTTCCATAAAGCAAAGTCAATGAGGAAGCTGGCAGGAGATTGCAAATGGTGACCATGGGATTCATAGGATTCACTTAACAATGACAACCAGAAGTGCTGGAACTGCTGTTGCTAAGTGGCATGGTCAATAGGCTTTATGACCACATTGCTTAGGGACAGAAACTCCAGTTCCAGTTACTGTTGTTAACCTGTAAACTGAATGTTGGCAGCTGTGCATATACATTTCTCAGGTAATCTGTCTGAATAGATATGTTGATACACAAAACCCCAGTAATACTTTTTTTCAGTGTCAGAGGAATTCTGTTCCCAATCTTACTTTTTCCTTCTAGAATTATTTCCAAATGAGACTACTGGGTCTTATTTAGCTCTACTGAAAAAGAAAAGAAACTAGCTAATAATCTAATTTAGTCGGTGGCCAACTATGGGAATGTCTATGTGGGAAGCAAGAAAGCAGTAATAGATTTTCAAATGTAGTCTTCAACAACAGATAGTGAGAAATATACTGTATGGCTTCTGATGTTGTAATTAATATCTAGTCATCAGAACCACAAATCCTGATAGTCTTATCCTCCATGAATGTATGATCTCTTTCTAAAGATATCAGTACATCTTTTGGTAGCAAATTCCATATTAAAGTACTGTGTAGAAAAAATACTTCCTTTTATTTGTCCATAAATCTCCCACCATTAAGGATCGTTAGATAACTACTCAAAGTTATGGTACTGAGACAAAGCTTCCTTTCTGTTTTTTTCCATATATGTGTAATTTTCTATGGCAAAAAGGTTCAGATGTTGTAATCTGTAGACATAGGGGAATTACTTCACTCACTTTGTTCAGGTTGGTTTTCATTTTGGGTAATCCAGCTCTGTAGTAATTTTGTTTTACATTTGTCCCAGATTCTTTATAGATGTTCCAAGTTTAGTCACACTGTAGATCTGTATAAATGCACAGTGATATTGACTGCAATACTTCATTTTTTTTTTCCTCTAATAATTCCGTGCATCGCTTTTTGGGGTGATTTACACTGAGCTGTATTTTAGATTTTTAAAATATTTTTTTATTAAAAGCTTTACAAAGCATTTAAAACTAACACAAACTAATAAAAGAGTAGAAGCAGGAAAGAAAAGTAAAAAGTGGGAAAGGAAGGGAAGAGAAGGGAATCAATTTTTTTTGCAGCAAATATGTGTACAGCTATGTAATATATAAGTATTTTTTTCTGTTATCCAGTCTTTTTTTCTAATCAAAACCACAAATCATAAATGCATTTTCTTTCCATTTCATGCAAAAAAAATCCATAAGGAGTTTCCAGTCAATCATAAATGTAGGTATTGTTTTTTTTTCTTTGATCAAAGAAGTTACTTTAGCCATCTCCAGACATTCCATCATCTTCACCAGCCATTCCTCTGTTGTAGGTAGTTTGGAATCTTTCCATTTTTGAGGATATGTCTCACTGCAGTTGTCATACATAAAAGGAGAGTTCCATGACTTTTTTTTTGTTGCTTGTCCATTCATTCCAAAAGAAAATCTCTGGTTTCAGTTGCAGTTTAACTTTTAAAATTGTGCTGCTGCACATTACATTGACCAGTCTCTCCAGATCCTCATTACTACCCCATATTTTCTTGCCTGGTAATCACCACCAGTTAGACACCATCAGGATATATGGGAAAGCTCTTGGGTTGTTGTTGTTGTTTTTTGCCATAATAGACATCTCTTGCTTACACTGAGTTGCCATTCCTACTTGAATGCTTATTCCCTAGTTTCAACCAATAACTTTGAAGGTCTAAGCTACATTTTTGACTGAATCGCTTCAAATTGGTGGGTATCATCAGCAGATTTACTCTTACTGCTTATACTTAACTTCCAGTTATTTATGGCTATATTAGAAAAGACTGCTGCAAACACCATGAAGATGATATTTAATTCCTGGCAATCTCTGAGTTTTAGTAGTTTAGCACTTTACATTGAAAAAGCATGTTTTGATAAATCACCAGTTATATCCTAGAAGCCATGGTCTATTCATTGGGAAATTCAGCTTCAGTAGAAGAGCCATTGCTTATAGTGTTTATAGTATCACTTTATAAAAAAAAGGTACAAGGAAGTAGTTATTCCTATATATGAAGTTGCAATCTGTTCAAACTATTGATTCACAGTATACTCACCAAGGGCATTTCTGCAGAGTTTGACTCTGTAGAGAAGCAGTGCTTTCTTTTCCCATCCTTTATTGCATCACTATATATTTTTTTTCACCAAACTTCCAGGTGTTTAGTGACAAACACAACTGTCAGTTATAGATATGGGAAATAAAACATAAGTATTGGGATAGTTAGTATATGCAAATAATAAAATCATACACCAGCAGATTATTAATGGAAAAAATAGCAGAAATGGGAATAGCAACATCCTTATTACTGTTTGGGGTTGTGCAGCTGTAAAAATAGCTTGTCCACCTGGGGGAGGTAAGACAGGAATAATTTATCATCTCCCTTCCCATCCACCCTATAACATGATATGCTATCCTTGAGTGAGGCAGTTCCTTTTATCTATGAAGATCTGCCTACAAAACAAAATCGAGAAATTGTAACCCAGATCAGCACATGTCATTGTTTAGAATGAGGTCCAACCAGGATGAATAGACTGGGGTTTCCTCCTGTGTGATCACCTCATTTCAAAAACGTTCCTTTTTGTTCTCTCTGTAGCTGTAAATGTTTGAGCTGGTTATTTGCATTTTACCAGTTTTGCTACAAATTCAATTCCTAAACAAATGTCAAAGTTATCATAGTCTTTCTCTGTTCATTGCATCTTTTTTAAAGTAAGCTGGGAAATTGTATTTCCTGTTTCATTATTTTATTATTTGTTCCAGAAACTAGGCCCTAAGAATTAATTTGAATATTAAAATCAAGAATGGGTAGGTTAGAAAGCATTCATATGTTTTTCACAGTGAATCAGCTTCATCTCATATGAAGTTTAGGATGGGGAATTCACCCCCAATAAACAAATAACAAACAAATAAATACAGTGCTTAAAAGTTATTTACACAGTAGTCCATGGACCTCTTTCTCCTCCTTCTACTAGAAGTACCAATTGCCTAGAACCACTAGAACAGTGGTTCTCAACCTTTTTAATGCCGTGACCCCCGACCGGTCGTAAGTCGAGGACTACTCAACCGGTCGTAAGTCGAGGACTACTCAACTGGTGCAGCACCGTTTGCAGACTGGGACTTTTGGTGGGCTCAGCAGGGCAGAGACAGCCTGGACAATTCCTATTGGCTTTTGAAAGCCAATAGAATTAAACTCTATTCAAGAGAGTCTATTCTATTGGCTTTCAAAAGCCAATAGAATAAAAGGGAGTAGCACAGCTAAGGAAAAGGGGGAAAAAATGGCGAACTGCGTTGTTTGGCGACCCCCGTGAAATGGTCGTTCGACCCCAAATGGGGTCCCGACCCACAGGTTGAGAACCACTGCACTAGAAGGAATCTGATATCGTTATGGGGAAATGGTTATTACAGTATTTCTCATGAGAGGAATTGGAACTGAAGTCTTGTGCTGCTCTCAAAAAGATGAAAAAGAAATAACTCTTTGAAACTGGCAAGACAAGAACTAAAGGTTTCCATGTCAGATTATCAGCTAAAATCAAGAGCTTTTCAAGGTTCTAAAGAGATCAGCCAAATATCAGTTGGCATGGAAATGTGGAAATAAAAAGCCTAAAATTGAAACTCTGGAGCACAACCCTACGTGTAAAGCATTGACTTCTGTATTCTGCAGTGTACATATGGTTTTATTATTGTCAGCATTACAGACTCAATTTTGCCAAGTAGTTTCTATGAGAAAATAAGTTTCTGGAGAACCCAGATTCACAACTGCATTCTCAGACAGTGTTCGTTTTGTCCTTACAAGGACCATGCAACAAAAATCCATATTATTTTTATTGTACAAATGGGGAACCAAGTATAACTCTCCAAGTATATGTGAGACAAAAACCCAACACCTGAACTTTCTGAAATTAGTGTAGTGCAGCGGTTCTCAACCTATGGATCGCGACCCCATTTGGGGCCGATCAACCATTTCATGGGGGTCGCCGAGCAAGGCTGTCCGCCATTTTTTTCCCCTTTTCTGGCGGGTGCCTTACCTGCCTTGGGCTGGGCCAGCTGGTGGCCCAGCCAGTGGTCGGCCTGCTCCATCTCTGCCGCTTGCCAGCTACGCCTCGGCCGGCGCAGGGGGCGGCACCACACATGCGGGGCACTCCCGGGCAGGGAAAGTCCTCGACTTACGACCGGTTGGGGAGTCCTCGACTTACGACCGGTTTAGTCCTTGACTTACGACCGGTTTAGTCCTCGACTTATGACTGGTTGGGGGTCGCGGCATTAAAAAGGTTGAGAACCACTGGTGTAGTGCATTGTTTAGGTGAGAAAACGGAACTTTAAACCTGAAATTTCAGCAAGTGGGCATTATCTGTTGCCCTAACTATCTTCTTCAAGAATCAGTGGCTAAAAGTGAACCTATACCTTTATTCCAGAACACATTACACCTGCCCAAAATGTTCCTAGCTGATTTGTATACCAAAACATATGTAGCTCAGTCAAACGTCTTGATATAAACAGCTCTCCAACTGATACCTGTGATTCCTTCAGAAGTTGTGGTTCTGAAGAAGTTCCTCATAGCTGTGATTGCCTCCAGAAGTTGTGGGTGCTCCCTCACTGGCGGCTTTTAAGAAGAGACTGGACAGCCACCTGTCTGAAATGGTATAGGGTCTCCTGCTTGAGCAGGTCCCTTCCAACTCTGTTGTTCTGTTATTCTGATTCATTTCATTCCGTGTCTGCACCAGTTTTTAGTAATCGGGAACAAAACAGAAGTTATACTGACAGCGTAGCAGGCTTACATCATATACGTCTGGTCCCAAGCAAGCTGTCCACACTTCCCAATTCTTGCTGATCCATAGTTTGCTATGATAGTTCAGAAATATAATTTGTATTATAGGGCTTCTTTTGTTTCTGTTTTCTTTTTAGTCTCTTCCCCCACAGTTGGCAAGCCCTACAAATGCAACTATTGTGGTCGCAGCTACAAGCAGCAAAGCACGTTGGAAGAGCACAAGGAACGCTGTCACAACTACCTGCAAAGTCTTAACACTGAACCACAGTCGCTGGCTGGCCAGCAAGGTGAGCCTGCTGCTAGGCTGGAACAGAGACCCATTGGTTATTATCCACTAAGGATTGTCTACATTTGGGAAATGTTGCCAATGTTAAAAAAAAAAAACAAAAACGGGAGGATCATTGAGGATGGCACAGGCTACCTATACAGACCAGCTCTATAGCTCAATCTTCCCACCCTGAGGTTTACCTAGTGGGTTGAGTTATTGCTGCTCCTGTGCCCTGGTAGTTTAGCTATCAGTACAGATGACTGAGAATGATTGCTAAATGAGGCAGTCATTAAACAAGGACTACTTGTATGTTGATTGTGAATTTTGGAATTTGGAAGTCTATCACATCTGGAAGCTATCCGTTTGAAAAATAACTGGTCCCAGTTGGTACTGAGCCCCTTTTCCAAATGCCTTTTATAGTCACTGTAGCTTCATTAATATTTTATAAATCAGGACTAAGATTCTCATTTCTAGGACAGATGGAAACTAGCTTTAGTGGCCAAACACGCAGGACGGGAGACAGGAGAGGTGCTGACACTTAAACACCATGAAGCAGGAGAACAGAAGCTAAATGGAATAATCACAGACGTAGACAACAGGCTCTAATAGGGTTGATTCAAGTTAGCACTGGCTGCAAGTTGTAACCTTATCCGTTTTGCTGTGAGATTTTTTTCCCCTCCAATAAATTAATTATCGGTATCATTCATTCATGGCTTTCATAATCTTGCACAAATATTTTTAAAAAGGAAGATAGGGTAGAATTAATGTGGACAACCCAAAATGAAACCAATTTTGTTTTATTATCAGGTGACGAGATGCGAGACTTGGAAATGGTGCCGGACTCCATGCTTCATTCCTCAGCAGATCGGCCAATCTTTATTGACCGACTAGCCAACAGCATCACCAAACGAAAACGCTCCACACCTCAGAAATTTGTAGGTAAGGTGCATCTCAAGCATTTCTAGAAAAAGGGCTGGTGTTCTTGTGAGCCAAGAGTTGTTGGATTACAATACAGGATGTCTTGGGTGCTTCTTCCTGGGCGAAAGACGTCCCATCTATAGGTTTTTATAATGTTGCTTTCTATCAGCATTATTTGTCTTAGTCTCATCGTAGGCTTTCCATCTGATACTAGAATTTGTACCCTGATCTCTTTTATCCTATGCATGAGGAGAGAAGCAGATGCGGTATAGCCTCTCTGATATGGCATATGATGTCAACTCCAGCTTTGAGAAGGACGTGGAGATGGTGGCTGCCCACCATCCCATGGACCCTAGCTTTGGCAGTTCATTGTCGTTCATGGGAGCAGAACATTTGCGCCCCCTCAGACTCCCACCCACAAACTGCATCTCTGAGATCACACCTGTCATCAGCTCTGTCTACACTCAAATCCAGCCCCTCCCAGGCAGGTTGGAAATTGCAAGTAGTCGGGAAGCTGCCGAAGGCCACGAGGACCTTCCCGATGGGACACAGATTGTGTATCGGGCATCACGGGAGCCAAGCATGGTATCGCCTAGCAATGGTTGCCAGGATTCCACAGACACTGAGAGCATCCATGAGGAGAGAGGCTCACACCAGCCACTGCTGTCCAGCATTGGGAATTGCAGCAGCAGCCGGCAGAGTCCAGCCTACGCCAAAGAGGACCCCAAATTACAGGAGGGCATCATTCCCACCACTACTCGGTCAACTCCCAGTTCAGCCAAAGAAGCCCTGCGTGTGGTGAATGATGAAGGGGAACAGGTAAAAGCCTTCAAATGTGAGCACTGCCGGATCTTATTCCTGGACCACGTCATGTTCACCATCCATATGGGCTGCCATGGCTTCAGAGACCCTTTTGAATGCAACATCTGTGGCTATCACAGCCAAGACCGGTACGAGTTCTCTTCCCACATAGTGCGAGGGGAACATAAAGTAGGCTAATCTTACTCTGTCCCCTTATTCATCTCTCCCCATCACTAGTGCTCTATCCTAGTTGGGCATGGAACTGTTCATTTCTTTTGTACTCCTTTGCACTGACTTTGGCTAAAAAAGAGAAATGTTTAAAAAAAAAAAAAGAACCCTAAGTTTTAAAAAAAAAAAATCCAATGAACTTGAGCCGGGGAGGAGCTCATAACATTTTGCCTTTCTCTATGGTGTGTTATTTAAAAGTTGATAATTAATTTTACATTTTTTGTTTTTCTCTCACATTTGTAGTTATTTATTAATTCCTTCCTTCCTCTAAATAGATTTTTCAGTTATTTCACCTGGAATGTCCTCTTTTGAGGAGCAAGTAAGGGCTGGCACACAGACCAGCAGCAAGCTTGACTCTAAGGTTAAGGTCTCTTCTTCTTCCATTTGGACATTTTTTTGGTTTCAGTTCCCATATTTCTGTTAAGCTACCATGTTAGGTATTAAGAACCTCAGATCAGGTGCTAAACACATTATAGAGCTTCCCCCTTTTAAGGGGCTAGGAAAGCCACGGCCTGAGGTATATTACTGTTCAGATGAACCGTATATATCTTCTTTTTATGGGTGGCTGTGAAACGGAGCGTATAAAAGTATCATGCTAGGAACGCTAAGGTCCCAGAACTTAATACCTCTGTGCATCTACTTAGCTTTGAACTGACTTGTATTATTTTCTCTGTTGGGGCCCAGAAGGTATAGTGAATTTTGCATCTGGTGTTGATGAAGGAGCTACAGTGTTTCAAGGAAGATGATGAGCACTTTGTATAGGAAGAATGCTGCCTTTCCATATTGGACCGAGAATCAGCATTGGGGAAACAAACGCTGTTTCCAGGATGCAGTGAAGGAATCTTAACATCTGGTTAAAATCTGTGATGCTTCTAAAGAGTCTGGGATGTCTTGTCTTCTCTCCAGATAGGTTGTCTGAGGTGATTTTCTTTGCGCTTCCGTGGTTAGCACTTAAAAGAATAATGATTGCTAAAGACTGTAGAAACAGGGTAGGCAAAATGTAACTTTCACAAGGCCCGTCATGTCTCAGTACCGTCTGAGCTGGCTAGGATTAATGGGAGTACAGCAACATTTGGAGACTCAAAGATTGCCAATCCAAGCTTTGGAAGAGGTAAGCCTCCTAGGTGAGTGCATGTCTTTAACTTTTCTCTCCCAATGTGCAGGTTCTTTAGACAGCATTGGTGAGCCTGGCTTTGCTGAATAGGAATTGATTTGTAAGATGGAGGTATTTTCATTCAGAGGTAAGAAGGATGCTAGCAATGATTGCTGGAGTCAGCTTAGGAATTTCTTTACATCTACTAGAGCCAAAGGAATGAGGAGTAAACTGCCAGTGTCTCTGTTCCAGTGCCTAACTTACACCTCATTCAGATTCCCAGCATCAGTTATTGCTGAGCAGTTGGAACTGGACTTAGTTTCCAGGTCAGTTTAGCTATCCTTGTTTGTGTCAGTCAGTTATAAGCCTTATGGGTCTGTGTCCAGAAAGCATGAGCAAGATCTGAGAGTAGCAGCCTTGTGGTGAAAGTTCTCTATATCCATGGAATAGATCACACTGCTCATCCCAAACTTAGGGGACCTAAGGTTTGCAGTGAGAGTTTCAGTTTTCTTAAAGAGAAATCTTTTTTCCAGATCAAAGGCAACAACTTCTAAACTGATTTTGCTGAAAAAGCAAAAGAAACGAAGCAAGATCTGCATAGTAACAAGTCCTGTTTGTTCACAGGTACATGGCCCAGGGTGTCAGAGGGGATCATTAGATTTCTGCAGCAAGGGCCCTGCAAGGACACTTTATTATGTGTGCTTTTGTGTCTTAAAAACTTTGATCATCATCAAGGGCAAAAAAACTCCATTCTGTAATTGGTTGCAGATTGCTGCTGATAATAGGCTGTAGGCAAGAGATAAAACACCACTTGTCGGTATTATGCAGTCATTTCCACCTCCCCAGTCTGAGTGGAAATCTTGTTGATAATTGTTTTTTAAGAGGGTAATCACCAAATTAGAAGGGCTATATGCTGAGCCAATAAAACTTGAAGCTTACCTTTTTCCGGAGCTTGCTCCATCTTTATCTGTTGGAAACATCTCATCTGACGGAAAGGGGTATATGATTAAAATAGTCTCTCTAGTCTTAGCTGGGTAGTGGATGTGACAAAAAGGGGAGTGCTTTTGGTTTAGATAAATCCCTTATTGCATTTACTCAACAGCAGCCCAGGGAATTGTTTCTTTGCAGGATAAACCAAAGGCAGTTCTTTTTCTACTTAAAAAGCAAACCTCAAGCTGCAACATTTTGTTCATTTCCCTTCTTTTTTGCTTTTGTAATGTGAAATACAGAGCTGAGCTTTTTTTAAAAAATAAAATAATAAACAGGCCATGCCAGTTTGTCTAACTGGAAAGGCCTGATTGAATGAGATGTTTTGGAGAATTGGCCAAGGAGATGGGAGTGGAACTTTTCTTTAAATACAGTACCCTGATCCCACTGTTCTGCCATATTTAAAATCTGGTACAATATCACTTTCCTCCTTCAGCTTTCCTCTTTCTCACATTCAGCATAGGAATGGCATCTTAGAGGCTTGGGAGGCATTTTGAGCTGGTCCCAGCAAAGTATGTTTTAGCTTCCGCAAGAGAAGTGAACTACTACAATTTTTGTCATTCTGATTATACTGTGCAATACAAATAAAACATGCTGAGACACTTTGCCAAATTGTTAAGGGAGTTTGAAAGTCCAATTCTTATGGGGTATATTTTTCCTATTAGAATCATACTTCTGGCTCCTTTAGTTCTACTGGCCCTAAGGTCAAGGATTTTTTTTCTCCTATTGATGTACTCATGTCTTCTATTGATGTACATTTAAAGTAATTCAACATTTCTTTGTGACTGTTAATCTAAATCGTTATTTCATGTGACATAGTTTTTTCCCTGTAATAATCTCCATGATTTCAATGCTCATTAGAATGTTTTGTGTGAATTAAATCCTAGAGGGAATTATGGGAGCTCTCCTTTGAATGGAAAAAGTCACCAGAACCAGCTTTTACACCTTGCAATTTGAATGTTTAATATTATCTTGCTCTGAAGGGTGAGATTCCTTCACCACTTACTTTAAAACCATGAAGACTTTTTTTTAAAATTTAACACAATTTGATAAGATTATAATTGAATTCAGGTGTTACTCATAGTATTTGGGCTGTGCTCCAAAATATCAGAGAGAACATATCTTTAGGTTTTTTTCATAATTACTGCTAACACCCTGGGCAAACTTATGAGAAGTTCTGTAAAAGCAAAACATTGGACATCAAAGATGTATTTATTGGATATAATAAAACTTCTAAGCTGATTTCCAATATTCCCAACAACCCACCCCTCCACTGTATTTATTGCCCATTTTGTGAGTATGGAGATGTATGGGTGTGGGTGTCATAGATACATATGCACACACCCCCACACATACATTTGCCCCTCTTTCAGAGCAAGTTATCCAAATATTTGTCCTTAGGAAAGAATTGAGCTACTCAAATAATTGTCTAAGAATTTTAGATTCCTCTGGTGATAACTTTTTCCCTAAAAAAAAGTTAATTCTGGCAGTATAGCCTGTTCATGTAACTGTGCATCTGAAGAAAGTCTGGATGTTTATCATCCAGGTGCTCAGTGTCACAATGGAAGTAGACCTCTGAAAAAAGGGAAGGTGCAGATAGGCCTATATAATAATAATAATAATAAAGAGAACAATCCCTAACTCAGTTGTATGCATGTTTCTTTTCTCATGTGAATCTAGATCTAAATAGGGCATGTATAGTAACTCCCCAGTTATATAGATAGCATTTATCCCTGGTGGGATCAGACAAATAGCACTTCTCTCTAGGTACTTGAGATTCCTGGGCTTCTAGTATGGTATACGTATTCCAGAGGACTGGGATAAAATCCATTTACTTTAGCTGGAGAGCATTATATTGTCTTTAATGAAAAGCAAACATACACACATGAATTAGTAGTTACAAAATCCTATAACCAAATTCCAAAATTATCCAGTTCTGCAAAGAATGGATGCCAACTAATTACGTTTATGTAATCAATATTTTAAGCAAAACTGGAAATCAAACAGCAAGGTTTATATTTGTTTTCTTTCCACATACTGAACTGAATGTGCTGTATGAAGCAAGATAAATACTGTTTCAACAGATTAGAAAATTAAATTTGAGTTAAAGATGCTAGGAGTGTGACTCTTGCTGAGATGTCTCCTTGATGTCTGAACTTTATTATCAATGCCCTGATATTTTCCATGTGAGATGCGAATTACTTCTAATTTCAATAGACAAAATTATGGAAAGATATCTTTGTTCCCCCAATGCAGACTAAATTTTCTGTCAAAGCAATGTAAAACATATTGAACAGCTGACCAGATGTGCTTTCCATCTGAATATATTTGTCAATTAGAGAAAGCATTTATTGGCTTCTTGGAAGATGGCGTTGAGAAGAAAATACGCTTATGAAGTTTTCTTTATTTATGTACTGTTTCTGAAATAGGTATGAAATTTTGACAAGGAAGAAAAAAAAGCTTAGATAGTTGGAAACTGACTTCTTGAAAGCCAAAGATGGCCCTTGGGTGCTTGGCCTCACTTCATTGCCACATTGATAAAGCACCTAAAGTGTCATTTTTACTGGGTTTTTTAAAATCTATCCTTTGTGCCTCCATACAAAGTCCACATTCAGAATTGCTCTGCTTCCCGTTTCTAGTGGGAATAGGACCACTCTATGCAGGAGCCAATTATTTTTGTTGAAGGGGAAATATTAAGACAGTTCTAGATCTAAATGAAGATGTCCAGAACATCATTTGTGAACTCTGTCTACTGCACTGTGGAATGGTACTAATCTCTCTCAGCCCTGCTTCAGGGAACAAGAATCCTGCTTCGGACTTTACATATTACCTCCTGCTTGCCCCCTTTTGTGAAAATGAAAATAGGTTTGTTTTTAGAGAAACAAAAGCTCTGAAATTTCTAAGAAATCAGTGTTCCTTTTTATTTTTTGCTTTCACCTGTATGAAGAGCCTAAAAAACAAATGTAGGAATTTTGTAAAACTCCAGGTCTCTTTAACTTGTGTAAATATATATATTTTTTAACCAGATGTATGAAGAACAAAAAAGATGTGCAATATCCCCAACCCGCTACAATATTCTTCACTTGTTTCTAACAAGCTTTCATTTGTATATTGTTATTGGGTTTGCTGGTGTGGCGCTCTTCCCCTCCTTTTTTTTTTTGGGTGGGGTTAAACTTGCTTTTAAATAAAAGAAAAACCTCTTACTGCAAAAGCTTTTTTGTATTTGTAATATATTGTAAGTACATATTTGTGTAATGGAGATTATACTACTGTTAAGTTTTGTACTGTACTGGCTGAAGGTCTGTTATAAATAAACATGAGTAATTTAACAGTCTGGTTCCTGGCTGTCCTTAACTAATATTATTAATACTTGTGCTGGCTCTTCAGTTTTAGATCAATATCCTAATTCAGTGCCATGTTAATACCTTGCACAGGCTCCCTCATTCCTGCCAATAGATGAGCAGAAGAGCAAATCAGAAGGAAATTTGCTGTGATTCTCTTGCTTGTAAAGAAATCAACAGAGTAGCCTTTAAAGAAGGCAGCCTTTTTGCTTGGGAAGAATAAGCTGAATGCTAAACATCTACCGCAGTGGTTCTCAACATTTTTAATGCCGTCACCCCCAACCGGTCGTAAGTTGAGGACTACTCAACCAGTCGTAAGTTGAGGACTACTCAACTGGTGCAGCACCGTTTGCAGAATGGGACTTTTGGCGGGCTCAGCAGGGCAGAGACAGCCTGGACAATTCCTATTGGCTTTTGAAAGCCAATGGAATTAGACTCTATTCAAGAGAGTCTATTCTACTGGCTTTCAAAAGCCAATAGAATAAAAGGGAGTAGCACAGCTAAGGAAAAGGGGGAAAAAGTGGCGGACTGCGTTGTTTGGTGACCCCCGTGAAATGGTTGTTCGACCCCAAATGGGGTCCCAACCCACAGGTCGAGAACCACTGATCTACCGTATATATCCAAGGATTGACTGTTTTCCATGGCTGCATGGAAACAAAGATAAAATATAAATCAAGGGTGTCAGTCTCTTTTGGCAAGAACACCATCTTGCTCGCCTGACCAGCTGTTGGTCTACAGCAGGGGTAAGCAACCTTGACTCTTTTATGACTCATGGACTTCAACACCCAGAATTCCTGAGCCAGCCAGCCACGAGTCATAGAAGAGCCAAGGTTGCCTACCCCCAGTCTACAGAATGCTTTCTGGTAATATCCCCAGAAGCCAAAACCAATATTGGGCTTTTTTTCCCCTTGTGGCTTAGGAAGAAAGGGAGTAGGAGGTGAACTGCTTCCAATGTGACCTTTAAAAATGATTTAGGGAATTTGGTGGAGCAATCTGAGGGCGGACACGGCTATGATTAGCCTCCCAGAGACTTTTCCATGCTTGTTCTCATCCTTTTTTTTTAAATTCTACATTCCAGAAAATAGGCTGTTTTGCCATTAGACTTATACAGAATGATTTTGAAGGCACTTGAGACCTGCATGAAGGCTATACCCCCACCCCCAGGAATAAAGATGAACCCTAAAGACCTGGCTGGGTCCAGAAGGAGGTGATCCTCTTTCAGAAATGTCCCCAGGGGGTTATCGAGCATGGCACCAGCCTATACCACAGTCCGGGGAGGGAGTGTGGCTACTGTTATCAGATAATCTCTAGCAACCTTCAGGGGCATGGCCCCACAGGTGTCTGGCGGTGAGACCCTCTTTCTTAGGCTGGGCTCAAGGGATCAAGTAGGGCTGCTGCTGCTGTACCAGCCTCCCTGCCGCATGGCAGCTTCCCTACCTATTGTTGTGATTCCGTGCCAGCCTGTGCTCCCAACAGCTGAGTCTGAGGACTCTGAGGAGGAGGTGGAGGAGGCATTTGAAGGGCCATCGGGGCAGAGGGAGGCTCTGATGAATTACAGGACTCACGGTTTGATGCAGAGCGTGGGCCCTCCAGTCGTGTTCCTGATGAAGCTCAGCTATGTGAGGAGAATGAGTCAGACTCGGAGGACTCACACCTGATGGACTTGCTAACTGATGCTCGCACACGTCGTTAATTAGCGAGAGTAAATCAGCAGCAGTCAATACGGCAACTCCAGGGTAAAAGGAGAAGGCAATGAGAGGCAACGCCTTGGGACTGCTGTATAAAAAGAGGAGGTTTGGGCGGTGCTGGTTGCTGAAGGCAACCGTTTGCAAAATACTTCTTGGAATCCTGGTCTGTTCGTCTTGCTTGTGACTACTCTTCTGTTTGCATTGTGTTTCCTGTGGACTATTTCCTTCATTTGGACTTGAGTTTTGCTGTTTATTTATCTTATGAATCTAAAATTAATTGCTAGGTTGAAGTGGCAGAAGCAAAATAAGGAAGAAATGTTTACAACTGCCTTGTTGTTTACCTTTCCAAACTCAACATTTAGGAAAAAGAGGACTAATAATATATAGGATCATAGTTCTGTTTATTAAAATAAAGTCAGACTGCTAGTATTTTTGGCCTCTATGTTAGGCATCTTCTAAAAGTATGTGACTTGTGCATTGGAAGTCTGCTGAATGTGATACCTTGCCATCATGTTAGTTCATTTTTGGAGGAGAGAAAAAGTTATTAAAGTGTCCAAATGCTTAATGACTGAACATCTGGCTCGGGATAAGCATGTCTTGCTTCTGGAATTCTGCCAGCATATATGTAAATTCTATCTTCACAATTATGAACATTAATAACCTCTTTAACACAGTGTTAATATTAAATATAACCTCTTCAACAGGCTAAATTCTTGACCCCACTTCAGAATCTTACGCACAGTCCTATCTAAAGTTGTAAGTAGGGCTTTTCTGAATTCGTATCAAAAATTTTAATTTGTTCTAAAATATGTCCTACACTTTTGGAACAGGTATCACTTTATCATCACCAATAGAGCATTCTTAGGAACTATTATTTCTTCCCTTAGGATGGTACTAACCCTAAGTTTACCAATTTTGTATTCAATTTATTTCTATTTAAATGGCGATGCTGGCCAGAAAACAGCAGGTGGGACATCAGCCACTGAGATAAGGAATTGCTATCTATTTTGCCTCCTACAGTTCCAGAACCTTTAATATATACAACTGAGTAAGTTACAGTAAGTTTGTCTGTCTATATCTGAGGCCAGGTCTCAATAAAATAAAAGTAGCAGCAGCCAATAAAAAATGAGCTCATTTGCTGTTCGTGTTTTGGACTATTTGGCAGGTTTGTCACCCATATTAAAAGGGGTTTGTTTTGTTTTAAAGTCTCCAGCCTATTTTATCAGCAGGGGTTTGGTCCTTGTGCCTTTAACAAGGACGGTAATAGGCTGGGATAGAACACCTATCACAAAAATCTGGTAAACTAACATTCTGAGCTGGGAAGACATTAAGGTCTGAATAAAATATGAAAATATATAATATTGTACCTTGCTTACACCACTGCGTCTCAACCATATATCTCTTAGCCTATCCATCAACCAGTGGAACTGGGACCTATTATGATGGAATCAAAGCACCCATTTTCCCTCAGAAGGATCCCTATGAGTGCATGTAATTTTTTTTTTATGCTTCATGAAAAGTTAAAAAAATAACTAATTAAAATGTCAGGGACTTATCTCGTCTCCATCTTAAATTATTTGAGTCACTCTTCGATATGTTGACCCTTGAGAATTGTACAGCTTTGTCCTCTTAGCAAAGCATTGATTCAGAATGTAGTTCCTTCAGCAGACTGCATGTACGTCTCCCTGTACCCATGCAAGAATTGGAAATACACCCTTTTAAACTGAAAGGGAAGGTGCTAAGTTGTCCTCTACATGCCAACTTTGTAAGTACCCTGATTATACCTAGTTTTGGTGGCACACTAAACATGAATCCTGTTCAGATAATATGAAGAATATAATCCTTCCTTCTAGTCACTGATTTGCCTTTGTATACCAACAACACCTCACACAGGAGGCCAAGTCAGTCACATGGTCACCCATTTTTTATTTTTTCTAGCTGCCACAAAGGAGATTGGGATGCTGTTTGTCACTTCCACCAATCCAGCTTCCTGCCTCTCCATAGCATAAAATAGAAATTGGGCCTCTGTCAGCCTTGGGAGTGGGAAAAATGAAGATACACTGATAAGTAGTTTGCACGATCTTGGGCTGTTTGGGGCTAAAGTTAATTAGTCCTCTGAATTAAGGTCATTTCTTTTAGGATAGAATGTAGGCAGATCATGTTTACCCTACCCTGATCCTGTTAGAATAGATACATAACCACATAACATTCAGCCAGCCAGCTATTTGTATAGGACAGGAGTATCAAACTCAATTTCATTGAGGGCCGCATCAGCATTGCATTTGCCCTTGGGGGGCTGAGTGGGTGTGGCCAGGGTGGCTGCAGCCTACTGGGTGAGTGTGGATGGAGTGGGTGTGGCCTACTGGATGGGCATGGCCAGCTCTACATTGTTCGCATCAAGGGTGCCTGTGGGGGCCTGGGCAGGAGTGGGACAGATCTGAGGGTCTCTGGCAGAAGGGGGTGGGACCAGGGCAAGCACCAAGGCATAGTCCATTTCTTCATTACTCACAAAGGGTGACACCTCCCCAGCATGCACCCAGGGGGTGGAGCTAACGCGCAGGGGCTGGTCCCTCGCTGTTTCTGGGTGGTCTTGTGGAGCTAAGACTGAATGCATTTCAACATAGATGGCCACCACAAAATTGTACATTGGCTCCCGGCCTGCCTGGGTCAGGGCCAAGGCAGCGGGGGCCGTTCCCTCACTGTTTCCAGGATGGCTTCATGGGCCACATGAAACCACTTTGCGGGCCGCATCCGGGCCTTGTGTTTGACATGTCTGGTATAGGAGAAACTAGTTGATATATTAGAGCACATGAGCATAGATGGTGGAGGCAAAGAACAGCCATGTCTGATGACTTTCCTGTTGTTATAAAGTTGCCTGGGCAACTATCATTTTTTGCTGTTTATTTTTAAACTGTGTATTTATCTTATGAATCTAAAATTAATTGCTAGGTTGAAGTGGCAGAAGCAAAATAAGGAAGAAATGTTTACAACTGCCTTGTTGTTTACCTTTCCAAACTCAACATTTAGGAAAAAGAGGACTAATAATATATAGGATCATAGTTCTGTTTATTAAAATAATGTCAGACTGCTAGTATTTTTGGCCTCTATGTTAGGCATCTTCTAAAAGTATGTGACTTGTGCATTGGAAGTCTGCTGAATGTGATACCTTGCCATCATGTTAGTGCATTTTTGGAGGAGAGAAAAAGTTATTAAAGTGTCCAAATGCTTAATGACTGAACATCTGGCTTGGGATAAGCATGTCTTGCTTCTGGAATTCTGCCAGCATATATGTAAATTCTATCTTCACAATTATGAACATTAATAACCTCTTTAACACAATGTTAATATTAAATATAACCTCTTCAACAGGCTAAATTCTTGACCTCACTTCAGAATCTTACGCACAGTCCTACCTAAAGTTGTAAGTAGGGCTTTTCTGAATTCGTATCAAAAATTTTAATTTGTTCTAAAATATGTCCTACACTTTTGGAACAGGTATCACTTTATCATCACCAATAGAGCATTCTTAGGAACTATTATTTCTTCCCTTAGGATGGTACTAACCCTAAGTTTACCAATTTTGTATTCAATTTATTTCTATTTAAATGGCGATGCTGGCCAGAAAACAGCAGTTGGGACATCAGCCACTGAGATAAGGAATTGCTATCTATTTTGCCTCCTACAGTTCCAGAACCTTTAATATATACAACTGAGTAAGTTACAGTAAGTTTGTCTGTCTATATCTGAGGCCAGGTCTTAATAAAATAAAAGTAGCAGCAGCCAATAAAAAATGAGCTCATTTGCTACAAGTCCCCACAATGCACAAACCACATTTACATTTTCCTCCTTTTGCTCACATCTCCATCTGCAATCCAGAGCTTCATCCATGACTTTTCCTTCTTTAATATTATAATTGGAAGGTATGTTTGTTACCTAGATCACATCAGTCAGTCTACATGTAAGCGTGGAACAATGACGTTCCATACTTTTGGGAGTTATCTGCTTGCCATAATTTATAAAAACTAATCTCAGAATAAAACTTTAGGTAGTATAACTCAGAAGTCATACTAGAATTAGTGACATGATTACAAAAGCCCCAACCATAAATTCTGCTAACTCCTTTCAAGAATTCCTAGTCACAAGCTGGGAAAGTTGCCCTTTCTGATCTCTTAGGAGATATGTGGCCATTTAAACTAGATGGTGCCAAAGGCCCAACCTGAAAAAAGTTTATCCTTATCACATCCTTATCCTTCAAATTCTACTGGAGGTGAGCTAGGACAGAAATGAGAGGATGACATCTAGTATCGCAGATGGATTGGCAGCTGGTTGGGTTTTAATATAAAGAAGTAGAAGCTGACAGAGCTATCATCATTGCCAATCTAGGAAGATTACCAGCTCATACCATTATTCTAACAGTGCTCCTGTATATTGTCTGATGCCTGCTAATCTTATGATGATCTGTCTGCTTTTCCAGTCTCTGCCTGATATTTCCTAGGAAGAGAAAAACTGCATTTAAATCATCATAAAGAGTAAAGTCAACCATTATCCTAACCAGGCCTTGAACATACCATGTGTGTTCAGTTTCTGTCTCATTTGAATTGTTTGGAAGCTATTCTTTCTGAAAAGAGAGCTATTCCTCTTTTACATGGTTAGCAAAGGACAGTTCATCATTACTTGGAAAAGATTTACTCCAACTGCTGCACGCAGAGTCATCTGCATTATTTCAGCTGCTTCAAAAGATTGCTGTTTGCAGATAAAGGAAAACCAGCCGTATAATAGAGGAAAAGGCAAGATTACTCTTCCTGCCTTTTCTTTCCTAAAATTACAGTTCCATCTATAAATGCCTCTTTCTCTTTTTGCAGTGTTATTTATAAAAACACAAACAGAGTATGATGAGCTTTCATTATGTCATCATCGATCTTCATGTCCACTTTTTAGTCAGTAGTAGAGGAATAGAAAAAGGAGTTGACAGAATGATTCATCCCTCTGTAAGCAGCAGTGTAAGAGTGATAAACATTAGGGACTGGGAGAGAGAATCAAGCTAGAACCTAGCTCCTAGTCTTCCAGTTCTTTCTCCAGTTTGATCTCATGAGTTTTGAATGGACTTTTAGCTTGAGACTCAGTGGGCTGGAGGGCCTCACTTCCTTTTGGATATTCTTTTGAATGGCACCTCTGATGTTTCACCAGCACACCCCTCTGTCTGAATCTTCTCCCACACTCAAGGCAGCAGTACGGTTTTTCTCCTGTATGGATACGTTGGTGTGTAATGAGATCAGACAGCCTGGTGAATCTTCTGTCACACTCATCACAGGCGTAGGGTTTCTCTCCTGTGTGGATTTTTTGGTGCCGCGTAAGATCTGAAGGGTAGGCAAACTTCCTGCTGCACACCTTACAGGAAAATGGCTTCTCCCCCGAGTGTGTTCGCTGATGCGAGACCAGGTTGGAGTGTTGGATGAACCTTTTCCCACACACCCCACAGGCATGAGGTTTTTCTCCTGTGTGGATCCTTCTGTGTGTAGTGAGAGAAGAGGAGGACACAAAGCGTTTCCCACAGTCAGTGCAGGCATAGGGCTTCTGGCCCATGTGGTTCCTCTCGTGGATCTTCAGAGCAGACTGGTGGCTGAAGCATTTCTGGCAATAGGAACAGTGGTATGGCTGCTCTCCCGAGTGACTCCTTTGATGGCTGACAAGATATGCCCGTTGGCTGAAGGTATCTCCACACTCGGAACAGATGTGAGGCTTCTCTCCTGTGTGGATTTTCTGATGTCTTGTGAGATGGGAAAGCTGGCTAAAGCTTTTCCCACACTCGACACAAAGGTAGGGTCTTTCGCCTGTGTGAACGTTAAGATGTTTTGCCAGATCTGAGGGGCGAGTGAAGCTTTTGCCACATTCGATACAGATGTGGCTTTTCTCTTTCCTTTGGGTTCCCCTTGAGACTGGATGGACTGCCACACTCCCCTCTTCCTTGGACTTCAGATGAGGCTGTTCCAGCTCCTCCTTTCTGCTAACTAGACTGGCACCTGTAAGGGGAGAAAGGTGGTCACAATGCAGCTCCACAGATCATGGCTAAGAAGGAGGTAGGCACCTCATAGATGCTTTTCTAAACATTCTTGTGCTCCAATTCAAGGTGTTGGTTAAAGTCCTGCATGGCATGGGGCCAGATTACCTACAGAAACATCTTCATCAGTCCATCCCACCAGATCAGGCAGGGAAGGTACATTGCGGACCTCATCCGTTAAAGAATTCTGACTGGTGGGGTCCAGGAAGAGAGCTTTCTCTGCCGTTGCCTCAGCTCTGTGGAACACTCTCCCCCCAGAGGTGAGGACGCCCTCATTCTCCTAAGCTTCCAGAAAGGTGTGAAGCTTCCAGAATGGCTTTGCGGCCTTGCTTGTAGGGTCACAGTGGGGCTAATTAGCACTCTGAAAGGCCTGCCTTTTAATTAATGTTTAACATTCCTTGCCTCTTTTAAATTTTATATACTATATTTCTGCTTTTAATATTTTATTATACACCACCCAGAGCCCCTCTGTGAGGGGGATGGGCGATTCTTAAATATAACAAACAAATAAATAAATCTTACATTAGAGCAGAATTTTGCCTTCCCTAGTGTCCAACCACATCATTCTAGAAAGATCTCTTAAAGGAATCTGATACTGATGATGATATGGTATTGAATGATGGTTCTTGTAAAGTCAATTATAGGTCCTCAACTTACGACCACAATGGAGCCAAAAATTTCTGTTACTAAGTAAGGCAGTTGTTAAGCGAATTCTGCCCATTTTTCGACCTTTCTTTCCACAGTTAAATGAATCACTGCAGTTGTTAAGTGAGTAACATGGTTGTTAAGTGAATCTGGCTTCCCAGATGACTTTGCCTGTCTGTCAGAAGGTCGCAAAAGGGGATCACAAGATCCCGGGACACTGCAACCATCCTAAATATGAGTCAGTTGAATTTTGGTCATGTGACCATGGAGATGCTGCAATGGTTGTGTGAAAAATGGTCATAAGACCCTTTTTTCGGTGCCACTGTAACTTTGAACTGTGACTTCAAATGAACTGTTGTAAGTCGAGGACTATCTGTACAGAAATTCCCTGTAATCAAATAGTATACAGGTTGGGGGAAATTGTTAATTCAGGCTATCATAAATTGAAGTGCCCACACACAGCAATGTATGGTAATTTATGCAGTATCTCATGATCATGTAGCTAGAACTAGTATAAAAAATACCAGATACTTATAAACTGAAGAACACAATGTCCATTTTGAAAATCACGGTCATTCCTAACTATTTTAACCATCCTTTTTTAATACCGGTACTTCTATTAGAATTAAGGATAACTCTGAAGCTTTATACCTCAGTTTATGAGCCTATGTAACAAATTATAAACAGGCACTGTAGTTAAAAGGAAAAATCAAAATACAAATTTAAACATTAAAAGAGAAGCTAAAGATAGCATTCAGTTCTGGTCTGAAAAAGCTGGTGACAGAAAATAAGTCTCCCCTCCCACCCGGAAGACTGTATACAAGGAAGAGTCTTGTGAGCCTTATGATCATCTGACAAACTAAAACTGAATGTTCATCAATTTTCAAAGACAGCCTAATCTTTGGAACTGAACTTCCAAATTCCGCAGATTCATAGAAATACTGAATGGCTTCAGAGGTAAAATAGAATTCTGTGGAAATTTTTTGGAATAATTCACATGGGGAGAGCAGGAATCTGCCTGTGTCACTTTCTGGAACTATACTGTGCAGTTAAAGGTTAACAATTCCCACCCCACCCTTCCTACAACATATATTTTCCTAAAAATGCCATCTATTCCATAAAGACATCAATTGGTATCTATTGCAAACTGAGGCTAAAGATGTCCTTACCCATTGAAAGGTTAACAATATCCACCCTCCGTATCTTGCTGCTGGATTGCTGCTGCCTGACCTCCAATGACACCCTCTGTGCTTCTGAAAAATCCACAGCCACATCTTGAGGTGATCGAGTCCCCTGAAACAACAATGAAGGTCAGGTTCATAGAGACATGATGGGTGAAGGTATAGTGAACTATAGACAATGTACATTGATTCAAGGGGTTGTGCACTTGATCTCAGGTATTAAAAGTTAAAAGATAACTATGTGAGTTTCTAAAAAACAATCCCTGCAAATCAAAGTGAAATACAACTGCATTTTTATAGCCATGGTGGGCTATTTTAACCAGGGCAAGAAGAATCTCAAAGATTATAGCATTTTTCCAGCATCCAAGATTTACCGATATAGAGACAGAATGGCTGGCTGGATTCACATGTTTCTCTGCATGCCATAATGTAATTTATTTGGCTTTGGGTTACTGTATTGTGTATATTAAATCATTCACTGTACGTTGCAAATCATGTCTTAGGAATCAGAATAATGTGTGATCCCAAGGTAAATAACTTTCAATGCCAGTAAACTCTTTTGCACAGCTATTTTTTTTCCTCCTTGCTAGATTTCCTGAAGATGAAAATAGAAGCAGCCAACATAAAAGAGTGATAAGTAGCTAATGATAAAAAAAGAAACCCTATAAATAGAACTGAAAGAACAATAAAAACTGTTTTTATAAACTTCAACAACATTAGTGGAAATAGTGAAACTTTATGCTGCACTCCCTTTCATCATTTAAACATCTCCAGACTTCTGGTAAAGTATCTTTCATTATGACCTGAATTTATCTACTACTACTATTATTATGCTCCATTTATGTGGTACAAATGTTCTCTCTCCATGTTGAAGAATGGAACTTCACTTCTGCAACCAATTATATTTTTTAGAATGACATGTATATGTAATATTACAAAGGCAGAGAGCATTTAGAAGCAGAACTGGGGGACTTTCTCATTAGTTTAGGGCAGGAAATGAGTAAGTCTTCCAGATTGGTTAGATTTCAGTTTCCTTCCAGCCTGGTAGTATACTTGCCACTAGTGGGTATGATGGGAGGTGAACTCCATCAAAGATGGAGGGCCAACATTGCTCACTCCTTTTTAGCCCTATGAGCATGTTGAGTCCCAACAGTGATGAGTTTGTAGGAGCACTGGGTTGCCTGCCCCATAAGACCAGGTCCCCAGAGAGGTCCCATTGGTAGAATGAGGAGCTTTTTGAGGCCATCAGAGAAAGCAGAGTCAAATCCTTCTTTATTGCTACTTCTCTGCCATCAGAAGCTAATATAGGTAGTCCTCAAGTTACAACCACAATTGCGCCCCAAATTTATGTTGCTAAGTGAAATGTGTTATGTGGGTTTTGCCCCATTTTACGATTTTTCTTGCTACAGTTGTTAAGTGAATCATTGCATTTGTTAAGTTAGGAACATGCTTGTTAAGTGATCTGGATTCCCCATTGACTTTGCTTCTCCTAAGGGTGCAAAAACTGATCACATGACCCCAGGACACTGCAACCATCATAAATATGAACCAGTTGCCAAGCATCTGAGTTTTGATCATGTGACCATGGGAAGGCTGCAACGGTTGTGTTAAAAACGGTCATAAATCACTTTTTTCAGTGCCATTGTAACTTTGAATAATCACTAAATGAACTGTTGTAAGTTGAGGACTACCTGTATTGTACAAATTACACTTCCCATTTTGCTTTTTCTCATGTTCCAGCTTTATGGAAACCTGAGACTTCAGAAGATGAAAACTAGCCAAAGAGGAGAATGGGGTCTTTTTCATTAATGGGGGACCACTTCCTTTCTCTTTATTCCCAGAAGGTGACTAAATAGATGAACAGGTTTGCTTGCTGCTAGTTTATGCAGCAATACTAGCCATTACTGCATGTTTTTAAATAAACAGGGTAAACGGGCAGAGTAGAGGTCAACCACCTTTCAGCATTAGTCTCTTGATCTGGGACTGGCGGGAGCCATAGTTCCACTAAAAAAAGGGGCGTAAATTTCCTAGCCTGAGATGGACATGACCCAAACGTAGCATCTGATATCATGGGCAGAAGGAGAAGGGGACCAGGTATGAGGCTTCATCCTGCCTACTGCTTGTCCTGGAATGAACAGGCCTCACCTGCTCCTCCTGCCGCTTGTCTTCTTGCTGCCGCAGAATGAAGCCTTCAGCCAGGGCCACTGCTTGGGCACAGGTCTCCGGGCTACGTTCCCTGACCTGATTTTGGATGTCCTGAGGCAAGATGATCAAGAACTGCTCTAAAATCAGCAGCTCGACAATCTGCTCTTTGGTGCGGCACTCTGGCTCCAGCCAGCAAAGGCAGAGCTCCCGCAGGCGGCCACAGACCTCCCGAGGCCCTTCAGCTTCCTGGTAGCAGAACTGCCTGAAGCGCTGGCGGTGTAGCTCCATGCTGGGGGAGTTTTTTTGCAGGAAGATGGTCTTGACTTTGCCACAGGTTTTTTTGCCTCTAGCGTTCTTGCCACTCAACACTTGCTGGCCTTCTGCGCTGAAAGCCGGCTTCAGTCGGGACACCCTATCACTACCAGGCCACTGACAGACTCCAAATACTCTCTCAAAAGTGATCAAGTCATCCCAAGAGGTCAGATCTGGGAGGACTGGGCTGTCCCATACTGTGGCTGGAGAGGGCTTGGTCTTCAGGTATTCCCACCACTGGGTAGGCATGCCCCCTGGCTGTAACATTGCCCCAGGGGGCAGTTCCCATCTGATCCTAGGCTGAATGGCAAAATGGTTCCTTCCAGTTCGTTCTGATGCCTCTGTTGGTCCTAGCCTTCCTGGCACCTTCTCCATACTGTATCAGGCACACTTCCTCGTCAAATGTTGCCTGAACTACTACCTCGCACACTTAATCAGTCGCACCTAAGTACTCAAATCGGGTATTTTATCTTGCTGGAGATATTTCCAAATCCAGGCTTATTCCCCCACCCCCCATCATTGTCTTGCTATTTTGGGAGCCTCCCCTACTTTCACGTCCTTGCCCTCCTGTGCCCTTGAATCCACCAACAGCCACTATAAAAAAATAACTTCATACAACTGTGGGCTTGATGCTAGGAGCCAAGGCCTATTGGTGACTGGCTCAGTGTTCCTGTTCAATTATCTTCTTCCTGTAAAGAAACAGACATAAAACACCCCTTATAAATTTGTCTTATCTTTCTCCCCAAAGAGCTTGGGACTGTGTACATAAACCTTTGAATTTCTTTTAAAAAAAAATTGAGACAGGTGAAGTTGAGGATGGTTGGTCATTCCGTTCAGGAGCTTCCCTTGAACAGACTGACAGACAGTATTTAAATACAGTATTTAAATATGGCAGAGTCTAGGCCAGATATGTCACATACACCCATATATACATTTATAGCCCCAGAACTAAATTTAAAATGCGTGACATATAAGCAAAAGATTAAAACCACAAATTGATTGTATCAACAAAGCAATAATGCTGCTGCGTAAATTATGAAAAAAGATGCTGACTCTGCTAAATAAAAATGTTACACTTGACTGTGATAATTCCTGTTTTGTTCCAATTTTATATTTTTTCAGTGCAAAAAAAAGTGCTATGACTTCCTGCCCTCCTTTTCTGAATTATGGATAGTCCTTGCTCATTCAGCAACCATTCAAAGTTATAATAGCGCAAAACAAGTGGGCTTACTGATGGTCCTTGAAGTTAGGACAATTGCAGGGTCTCTGCGGTCATGTGATTGTGATTTGTGCACTTGGCAATTTATGCACAATTACAAGGATTGCAGAATCCCATGGTCAGGTGATCACCATTTTGTGATCTTTGGTGTTGGCTTTTGTCAAGCACAGTCAATGTAATATGATTCAACAACTGTTATTGATTCACTTCATGGCCATAACAAGAACTGCCAGCATAAATCAGTCATGCAGTTTTTCTGGTTTATGACCACATTGGCTAGAGACACAGTTCCCAATCCCAATTATGTTCATTAATTGGGGGAATACCTCCAGACATAACTAAATGTACAGGTAATTCTCGACTTATGACCAGAATTGAACCCAAAATTTTGTTGCTATATAAGACAGTTATAAAGTGAATTTTGCCCCTGTTCTAGTCCCGCCTTAGGCAAAAGCCAGTTGAGTGACCTTGGACCAGTCATTCCTTCTCAGTCCTAGGAAGCAGGCAATGGCAAACCACTTCTGAAATCTGGCCAATACAACTGCAAGGACTAGCCCAGGTGGTCATCAGGAGTCAAAAATTGACTCGAAGGAACAGTCTCTACCAGAACATGTCAGTTTTGGGCTGAGAATAAGGAACACCTCGATTTCATTTATTTTAGTGAAATAGTCCTGTATTTCTCCTGTACCAGAGGTAGGCAACCTTGGCTCTTTTATGATTCGTAGACTTCAACTCCCAGAATTCCTGAGATAGCCATACTGAGGGGAAAGGGAGAGGTTTCCATGCTTAGCCATGCTGGCTCAGGAATTCTGGGAGTTGAAGTCCACAAGTCATAAAAGAGCCAAGGTTGCCTACCCCTGTCCTGTACAATCTAATTTCAGCTCTCCCTCTGTGTACTGTGTATCTTTCTCTCAGTTTTCAGAAAAGTGCATGATATTTTCAAGGGAAATTTTCATCAAATGTCCTGGTCAGGCCCTGAGCTTTGATAACCAAAGAGACTGAACCATTATGATGGTTTCTGTCATTTCTGATGCTTTGATCTCTGGTTAGTTATCTAAGAGCTTGAGACCAGCTCTGTTAACAGAGTAAAAGAATAATAGGGTTGGAAGGGACCTTGGAAATATTCTATTGACTAGTCCAGGGGTAGGCAACCTTGGCTCTTTTATGACTCATGGACTCCTGAGCCAGCTGGCTCAGGAATTCTGGGAGTTGAAGTCCACGAGTCTTAAAAGAGCCAAGGTTGCCTACCCCTGGACTAGTCCAACCTCCTGCTCAAGCAGGAGACCCTTGCCATTTGAGACAAACTGCTGTTCAATCTTTTCTTAAGAACCTCCAGTGATGGAGTACACACAACTTCTGGAGGCAAATCATTCCACTGATTAATTGTTCTATCAGGAAATCTCGCCTTAGTTCTAAGTTGGATCTCTCTTTGATAAGTTTCCATCCATTGCTTCTTGTTCTGCCTTCAGGCTCCTTCTTCTACCATGGCAGAGAAAAAAGTTGTGGCCCACAAAGTTTTCCTGCCTGTCATTTTCAGTAAAAAGGTTCCGGGAACAGGGAAAGAGAGCACTCCTTTCCTTCTCTTTGAAAATCTGCTACTCGAGGCTGACAGTACAGGTTTAGATAGAACAATTTTCCTCGCTGGCTCCAACCTGGTGCCTCCCAAAGGTGTTGACACATCAGCTCCAGTACCTTCTAGCCATGGCCATGCTAGCTAAGGCTTATGGACCCTGAAGCATCAATGCTTCTGCAGGGTGTCAGTTGCGATGAAAACACCACAGAAACAGCAGCCTCTCAAGATTTAGAGCAGTGGTTCTCAACCTGTGGGTCGGGACCCCATTTGGGGTCGAATGACTATTTCACGGGAGTCGCCAAACAACGCAGTCCGTCATTTTTTTCCCCTTTTCCTTAGCTGTGCTACTCCCTTTTATTCTATTGGCTTTTGAAAGTCAATAGAATAGACTCTCTTGAATAGAGTCTAATTCTATTGGCTTTCAAAAGCCAATAGGAATTGTCCAGGCTGTCTCTGCCCTGCTGAGCCCGCCAAAAGTCCCATTCTGCAAACGGTGCTGCACCAGTTGAGTAGTCTTCGACTTACGACCGGTTGAGTAGTCCTCGACTTACGACCGGTTGGGGGTCGCGGCATTAAAAAGGTTGAGAACCACTGATTTAGAGGGAGGCCATCTGAATTCTCTGTTTACACATGTTGTCTTTGAAAACTTGCTCTCCTTGACACTGGGTGCTTAATTTTTAGGGAGCCTTTATTATGCTAAGTATTGCCAAGAGATAAGGCCCATGTTAGGCTATTTGTACTTTATTATTCTCTGAGAGCAGCACAGGACAACAAGTGATGGGCTGAGCAAATGCAAGATATACAATCTCCCCTCCCATTTATGATAATGTGCAAAAGTTTGGGGGGGGGAGATGGAAGACAAATGTCAAATATTCTCAGCAGATACTTTGGCAGAATTTATCACTTGGAGCCATTAGACATGTGATAACGGGTGTTACCTAAATATTTCCCTGGCATTTGTAGTTTCCTTATTTATTGGCTAAGCTAAGCTATAATAGACTAAAAAAACCTCAGATATACTACAGTAAATGAAGACAGATACCAAGTGCAGGCTAAGTTCACAGAGCCCTTAAAATCTTTTTGCAGAGTTAGGGGGCTACCCCCTATCATGCACCATGGGGGGGGGGGTTCCTCTGACATTCCACAATCTCTACAGGCATTAGAAAACTGGAAAAGCCAATTGGAGAGATAGAGGGACCGGACACTTATCAGACCCAGTGATTCTCCATTTCCATTCTCTCTCTCTCTCTCTCTCTCTCTCTCCCTCTCTCTCTCTCTCCCCCTCTGTCTCTCCCCCTCCCTCCCTCTCCCAATTACAAAGTCTGATTGACTCTACCTTCACTGGGAGGCTAGAGAACTTTTGGGTGGAAAAAAATGGCCTGATGGGACAAACCTCCCCCCCCAATCTTGTGTCCTTATTCAGGCTTGGTTAATGAGACACGGGGGAGGGGGGAAGTTCCCCCTTCCTTTCTTCACATAAAACACAAAACAAAAATCTGGCATTTTGTTATTGTCAAGAAGGAAGAAGTGAAGCCCTTCCTTCCTTCCCTTCCTTATTTTTCTCCTTCCTGCCTTCCTTCCACATTTCTCTCCATCCTTCCTTATTTATCTTTTCCTCCCTTCTTCCTTTCTTCCTTCACCTCCTTCTTTCCTTCTTCTTTCCACATTTCCTTCCTTCCTCCCTCCCTCCCTCCCTCCCTCATTTATCTCCTTCCTGCCTTCCTTTTAACGTATCTAGATAGCCTGGGGCGGACGTGTTTGGCTGTAGTCGGGTGAGGCGGAGGGTCAGTGACGAACGAGTAGCGCTGGACAAAGGAAGCTATGGGGTTCCGTAGAAGGGCCGCAAAAGCGCCACCTCGCTCACCGCTCTCCGGACTCCGCGGCCCCGCTGCCTAACTTCACAAAGAGGCGGGGGGGGGCGTCCCCCCAAAAAACTCTACAGAAGTCCTCGAGAAAGCCCCCAGCCTCTCCTGCCCCTCCCCTCCCCACCCAGATTTTGTTCTTCGACTCCGCCTGATTCCCCCCCCCGCCCCCGTTCCCGCCCTTGCAGATGCATCGGCTTCCCTTCGCCCGGCTGCCCCTTAAACTCACCGCTCCCCACAACTCCTGCCTCCATGCAGACCCCCGAAATCTCGAGCCCCGCAGACAATCCCACCACCCTTTAATACAATTCAGATGCCAAGGCTTTTAATCCAGGGCGGAGCAGGATGGAGTCTTGGCTACCGCATCCCCCTCTCGGCTTCCTGGGCCTCTCCAGGGTTTAGCTCTCGCTCAATAGGACTAAGCCGGCTTAAATCCAAAGGCTCCTGTTTAACTGGTTTGAGGATCGGGCTGCCAGTCATTGTAACTCTTGACGCGTCTCAGCACTGTGGGGGGTGGGGATGGGAAGGGTGGAAATAGTTGAGGGTGACTTTGACGCTTGGCAGCACCAAGTATTCCTGATGGGACTTAAATGCGAGCCCTTTGATTTCCATTGCACGTATTTGTTTTACCCAAATTAGAACGACCTGAACCAAAATAGCCAATCGGATGGCAAATAAATACTAGCCTCAAAGTAGGATGTTTGGGATGGAGCTGCACAGGCAGGTTGAATATGTTCTTAAACTTAGATTCAGAACATGCATAATGTTCATAATGGCTCAGATTCCACACATACTATATCTCAGTATGAACTTTGCAGTCAGTGGGATAATCTGTTACCGATAGGTACCACATGCCAGCAGTGGGCAAAAGACTCCAACCAAAGGTATGTTAACGTGTAAACATGTAGAGGTGAATTAGTGTTTTTTGTGGATATCCTAACCCAGTTAATTAAACATGAAAATCCATTCTTTTTTTTCTGATGGCTTTTACACCTCTAGCCAGCAAGTTGCTGGAAGCAGTGATGGGATTCAGCC